ACATAGAGTCTTCCCATTTCCAGGTATGTTCTTTTCTGTTTTGTAGACACTTTCTGCGTGATTTGACTCTTGATCTGTTGCTTTCTTCCAGACCAGAAGCATATCTCCAAGAGCAGGGCATCCTCATCAGGCAGTTGTGTCCAAGAAACTGGAATTTTTCTTTAATGTTGGATCAAAACCAGTCCTGTTTCCACCACTGCCTGTCTGAGCTTTCTCATTCCAGCACCTCTGTGTGTGAGGGCCTGCAGTTGTCTGGAGCGTTTAATTCGGTGGGCAGGACTCCCAGCTGCCAGTCTTCTTGAAGATTCATCTCTGCACTTCACAGACTGGGACCAAAAAGTGTTTTCTGTGCGTGCATCTCGGGCAATTCCCCTGTGTCACTCCAACGTCACCAGACAGCCCCGGGCTGTCTGCACGACAGGGATCCTCGGTGCATGGGTCTGCTCAGAGAGATGAAACGGTTCGCTTCGTTCATTTTGCTGCCTCCTCTTTCTGTGTCTTAGTGCTTTCCTGCCTCCCGCGGGAGATGGTATTGCGCTCCTGAGAGCACGGTTCTGACGTTCCGCTGCCGCTGAAGGTGGGGGGTGGCTTGGCCGCGCTCCTCTCCCGCTTCGGCGGAGCAGCAGCCTCGCTGAGCGGCAGCCCCTGGCCCCGCGGGCGCCGTCCCCCGGGCTCGGCCCTGGCTTCACCCGGCCGCGGGTCAGCCGCCCGCACGTCCCGGGGTCGGGGCTCCCTTCCCGCGGCACAGCAGGGTCCTCACCCGCCGGGTGGCTCACTGTTGGTGGGAGCTCACCTCCGCGGATGTCCTAGACCCGGCCTGTAGGCTCTCTGACCTCAGTACGCGCAGTTTATGAGGTGCCGTAGTGCCCCAGCCCAGCTTTGAAGCTGAAAATGAACTGAAAATCTGCATGCCATCTTCCCGGTGAGCTAACCTGTTTATCAGCTGTGTTCTTCTGTTGGTATTTTGAATTTTTCAAGAGCAACTGTTGGAGAAGCTTTGCTGGGATGAGAGTTTAGCCAAAGTTGTTTGCAGCTGCAGAGTTCTGTACTTCATCTTCTTGGGTATCACCAGGAACCGGGGGTGAATCAGAAGTTCGTGTTTTTCAGAAATTGTTTTTTTTTCCAGATGTTCTTGCATAGTTCAAGCAACTGTCTGCCCAGTCTCCCCTGTGGTTAGCTTTACATTCATTCTTGACCTCCTATGTTATTTTAGATTCTTGACTGCTTTTCTTATCTGCTTTCTGCAAGATGTCATTCCTTCAGCTACAGTTTCCCGGGTTTTGAGCCCCTGCTTGGTTTTACTCCATCTTTCACAGAAAAGACCTGGCAATGTGGGACGGATACTTTGAGGTTGTCACTGAAGGACCTTTACTGTGCTGTTCCCTCCCTTTTAAACAACAGCAGAGATGTTATTTTTTTCCCATCGGCCAAATTATTCACACTGAGACTCCAGTGACCAAGCTTTCCTTTGCAGACTTTGTAACCTGGCCTGTTTCTGGCCAGTTCAGTTCTGGCTTTGGGCTGACGTGCGTCTGGCCAAGGGTGTTTCTGGGAGTCACAGGGGCGAGTCGGTGGTCCCGGGGCGCTGAGCGGGCAGTGGCATGTGCTCCTTGCCTGCCGTGGCTGGCCCTCACCGGGCTTTGTAAAGCCGGTGTTGATCTTCCCGTGGCTGGCTTCTTGTGCTCCAGACAAGCAGGGGGTGCCCAGCCGTGGACGGAGTTGCACGATACGGGTCAAGTTGACGTCTTAGGGCTCGTGTCGTTGTCCGTCTGTGGGCGCGTTTGAAACACGCTGGGTGAAAAGCCGTCTGACCGTGTTGGTACCGTGTCCTCGCCCCCGATCTCACCAAGCTGCCAACAGCTGAAACTCGGCGTTCTCCGTCTGTCACTTGTCTGTCAGCAAAAGCATCCGGGTCTGCCCGAACAGCGGCAGGACGCGGAGCCGGGGCAGTGGGTGCCGTGGCATTGGGTGCTGTGGCATTGGGTGCTGCCGGGCATTGGGTGCTGCCGGGCGGTGGGTGCCGTGGCATTGGGTGCTGTGGCATTGGGTGCTGCCGGGCGGTGGGTGCCGTGGCATTGGGTGCTGCTGGGCGGTGGGTGCTGCCGGGCGGTGGGTGCTGCCGGGTGGTGGGTGCTGCCGGGTGGTGGGTGCTGCCGGGCATTGGGTGCTGCCGGGCATTGGGTGCTGCTGGGCGGTGGGTGCTGTGGCATTGGGTGCTGCCGGGCGGTGGGTGCTGCCGGGCAGTGGGTGCTGCCGGGCAGTGGGTGCCGTGGCATTGGGTGCTGCTGGGCGGTGGGTGCTGTGGCATTGGGTGCTGCCGGGCGGTGGGTGCTGCCGGGCGGTGGGTGCCGTGGCATTGGGTGCTGCCGGGCGGTGGGTGCTGCCGGGCGGTGGGTGCTGCCGGGTGGTGGGTGCTGCCGGGCAGTGGGTGCTGCCGGGCGGTGGGTGCCGTGGCATTGGGTGCTGCCGGGCGGTGGGTGCTGCCGGGCATTGGGTGCTGCCGGGGCAGTGGGTGCTGCCGGGCGGTGGGTGCCGTGGCATTGGGTGCTGCCGGGCGGTGGGTGCCGTGGCATTGGGTGCTGCCGGGCATTGGGTGCTGCCGGGCAGTGGGTGCTGCCGGGCGGTGGGTGCCGTGGCATTGGGTGCTGCCGGGCGGTGGGTGCTGCCGGGCATTGGGTGCTGCCGGGCGGTGGGTGCTGCTGGGCGGTGGGTGCCGTGGCATTGGGTGCTGTGGCATTGGGTGCTGCTGGGCGGTGGGTGCCGTGGCATTGGGTGCTGCTGGGCGGTGGGTGCTGCCGGGCGGTGGGTGCCGTGGCATTGGGTGCTGCCGGGCATTGGGTGCTGCCGGGTGGTGGGTGCTGTGGCATTGGGTGCTGCCGGGCGGTGGGTGCCGTGGCATTGGGTGCTGCCAGGCGGTGGGTGCTGTGGCACTGGGTGCTGCCGGGCGGTGGGTGCCGCAGCAGTGGGTGCGCTCCCGGGAACCCCGTGCCCTGGCTTCTGCCGCCAGCCTGGAGCAGAGGGAGAAGGTCTTGCCTTTCCATCCCGAGGGTCAAAACCTCCCACTCCTGCTTCTCTGCATTCGAGTACCCGAAGAACTCTGAACTGCTGCCCATTTGGGTGGACAAGGTTGGATGATTAAAAATGAAACAGAAAGCACAGGCATGTTCTGTCAGTATTCCTGTTCTTTATTTGGAAGGGAGCAGGGTGATGTGCATGTATCACATGCAGATGATGAAACGCTTTCCGAGCCATTAGTAACTGAAGCTGTAAGCATCTTCCAGGTGGTAATTTTTCAGTATTTGCATTTTGTAATTGTATGATGCTGGGGCAGTGCCAGGAGAGTGGCAGAGCGCTGGTGTTTGGAAGGGGCAAAGGCATAATCCAGTTAATTATAAACCTTTGAGTCTGATGGCAGTTGCTGGCAAAAAATAAACAACCCTATCCTGTAGGCAGCTGATAAAGAGTTAAAGAGTGGAATATAATTGCCAGCAGAAAACCTTACGGAAGAAATTTCATTTCGTTCTTTGAGGTGCCAGATGCCTTTGATAAAGGCAACCGTTTAGATGTACTAGATTTTGTTTCCCACTCTGGAACATCCCCACTAAAGCCCGCGGGTACCCACCAGAACGAACCTGAAGCCACGGCTGATAGCAGATGTGCAGGGGAGCCGGGGGCCGCGGTGCTGGGGCTGTGCCACGCCGCCCCGCGCTCTGCCGCGCCGAGGAGCTTTGAAAAACCAAAGGGTTTGCAAAGAAAAACTGCTGAAGTGGCTTAGGATCAGGAGAAAATGCGGGATACCCGTGCTCCAGGACTCAATCCATTCCATCCAGTTCATCCAAAAAAAAGATTAAGAGGTGATTTATCTAGAGTAGGCCGGGTAGCCTCATCGAAATCAAATTTTCTGAAGAAAACGTGTTTTCATGCAAATTGAATAATTATTGAATCAGTTCTAATCAAAATTGAATCAGCTGAATAATTCAGTATTTGAAATAAAAGTATTATTTCAGAAACTTTGCATCTTAGAAAATGTTAATGTGCCATTTCGGAATTTAGTTCAACCTCTTTTTTCATTTTTACATTTTCTACAGTTTTTCATAGAAAACAGCACTACGGCTCACGTATTACAAATGTTATGGCCTACATACTCTTCATTATTTAAACAACAGTTCAGTCTACCCGAAAGACGAACCACCTCCAACTAGAGTTGAAACACATAAAACCCAATCATTCTTGAAACGCCAAAGTTTCTGGCACCCAGGGAAATTCTGCGTTTCGGTCTGTTGTACTTGTGGCGCCGGGACGATGCCGGTAGCGAGGGAGGTGGGGCTGTGCGTGAGGAAGGGCAGCACAAGAGCCTGTGGCTGAAAACTGATTTCTTAATGTAGGAACAGGGTTTTGTTATTTTTTTAAGTGGTGAGAATTACTGAACATTTGGAGCAAACCTGCAGAGAAAATCTGAGACCTGACGCCGGTGGCATGCAGCAGCGTAGCTGTGATGCTTCTGGTCTTGAACCGAGGGTGATGAAATTAATAAACCTAAATCCTGTCATTACCTGTCTTTTGAGTGTTCCGCTTCTGGAGATGTAAATATTAACGTAAATATTAGCATAAGTGCTTCCATGTTTATTGCCCATAGATAATCAGATCAGTGTCTCCATCCGCACAGCACGGCCAAACGCTGCGACAGAACTAGGAAATGCCCAATTTTCAGTGATCTCAGTAGGATGGGGGAGGTCCAGCTCTTGCCACTGCTTTTGCAGGCGGTGCGCAGGCGCTGGTGTGCGCTGCTTTGCGCCGGCCTGCTGCAGCTTCCCCGGCTTCTCCAGAAGGTTGCGGTCACTGGTGGGTGCCATCCCACAGGGACAGCTTAAATGGGAAAATGTGCCAGGCTGTAAACACAGACGCAGAGGTGCAAGATCATCTGGGTTTGTGGCTTGACCCCCGTCGGTCTTGCCCTTGTGACCGCCAGCCTTAACCCCCCCTCTTTGTCTGTGCCCTAGGTGAACGGTGTCAACGTGGTGAAGGTGGGGCACAAGCAGGTGGTCTCCTTGATCCGGCAAGGGGGGAACCACCTGGTGATGAAGGTTGTTTCCGTCAGCCGCAAGCCAGAATCGGAAGAAGTTGTTCGGAAGAAGGGTAGGTGTGGAGTCTCCTGGTTCTCCGGGCGGGGGTTGTGTCACCTACGTGTGAGCGGGCGTGCGGAAGCCCGCGGCTCTGCCGGGAGGAGCCTGGCGTGGGTGGTCGGCTGTGAGGCTGGTGAGGAAGGAGGGCACCCCGAGGGGAAGGCCGGTCCGTCCCGGCACAGAAACCCCTGCACGGGCAGCGCGGACGTGCCGGCACCCGCGGGTGGGAGCAGCGCAGAGGGGACGGGGACGGTGGCCGGGCTGCGGGACGGCGGGAGCTGGGTGTGCTCCCCGAGGCTGCTCCCCGGGGACAGAGCCGCTCTGGTGCCGGCAGAGCGGCACGCCGTGCCGGAGAGCGGGGGCCTCCCCAGTGCCGAGGGGGGTCGCCGTGGGGAGCTGCCCCGGCTTCGGCGCGCAGCGGGGTGGGGTGGTGGGGAACCGGCCCCGCTGCGTTTGAGTTGGGGGTGACGGAGAGCTGCCCCCGCTAAGCGTGGGGCTGTCGGGGTGCAGAAGGGGCCCTGTGGGGACGCGGCGGGGTCGGGGTGGAGGACGGTGCCCAGGGGAGTGCTGGGGGTGCCAGGGGGGAGGACAAGGCCCCGTGGCTGGGGGGTGCCAGGGTGGAGGCTGTCCGCTCCCGGGGCGTTGCTGTGGCTGGGGGCACGACCAGCGTGGGGGCTGCCAACAACGTGTGGGACTTGCCCTCAATCGGGGGGGTGGGAAGGCGGCCGTGGGGTCCCCAGAAGGGTCTGGGCCTTCGCCCCATCATCCCCAGGGCAGAGCCAAGACCCCCAGCCAGAGCAGGGGCCAGGGGGGAGTTTAGCGGTGGGGGGGTGTTGATGCTGTGATGGCCAGCGGGGCAGGGCAGCTCCCCGGGTAGGGAGCATCCAGCTGAGGAGGGCAGGGGCACATCTGGAGGGCAGCTGGATGGGAGGCAGCCAGCTGTGCAAGGGGTGGGGGGGACATCATGGCATCCAGCTGTGGAGGGCAGGGGCACACCCGAGGACAGCAGGGCAGGGAGCTCGGAAGCACATCTGGGAGCAGCCGGTGGTGGAGGGGAGCGGCACATCTGGCAGCAGCTGTCTGTGGAGGATAGGACCTCCTCCACAGGCAACCAGCTGTGGAGGGTGGGGGGCACATCTGGGAGCAGCTGGCAGCACGGCACAGGCTGTCCCTGTCCGCCCCCGCACTGGGCTGTGTGCAGGGAGACAGGCTGTGGGGCAGGGGTGTTCTCCGGGGGACAGCGAGAGTGGGGGGACAGGAGTGGGAGGGCAGGAGTGGGGAGCAGGGGGACAAGAGTGGGGGGACAGGAGTGAGGGGAGCAGGGGGACAGGAGTTGGGGGAGAGAAGCGGGGGGACAGGAGGAGGGCGCTCCCAGCACAGCACGTGGGGCGTGGGGGAGCGAGGCAGCTCTGAGAGCTGACACCAAGAGCTGCAATTACATTGTCAGGGCACAAAAGCACGAGTCGTGGGAAAGGCTCGGGAACCAGTGCTGGGAGCGTTTGGGAACCAGTGCTGGGATTGTTGGGAAACCGGTGCTGGGAGCGTTGGGGAACCGGTGCTGGGAGCGTTGGGGAACCGGTGCTGGGAGCGTTGGGGAACCGGTGCTGGGAGCGTTGGGAACCGGTGCTGGGAGCGCTGGGAACCGGTGCTGGGAGCGTTGGGGAACCGGTGCTGGGAGCGCTGGGGAACCGGTGCTGGGAGCGTTGGGAACCGGTGCTGGGAGCGTTGGGGAACCGGTGCTGGGAGCGTTGGGGAACCGGTGCTGGGAGCGCTGGGAACCGGTGCTGGGAGCATTGGGAACCGGTGCTGGGAGCGTTGGGAACCGGTGCTGGGAGCATTGGGAACCGGTGCTGGGAGCGTTGGGAACCGGTGCTGGGAGCATTGGGAACCGGTGCTGGGAGCGTTGGGGAACCGGTGCTGGGAGCGTTGGGGAACCGGTGCTGGGAGCATTGGGAACCGGTGCTGGGAGCGTTTGGGAACCGGTGCTGGGAGCGCTGGGGAACCGGTGCTGGGAGCATTGGGGAATCGGTGCTGGGAGCGCTGGGAACCGGTGCTGGGAGCGTTGGGGAACCGGTGCTGGGAGCGCTGGGGAACCGGTGCTGGGAGCATTGGGAACCGGTGCTGGGAGCGCTGGGGAACCGGTGCTGGGAGCGTTGGGGAACCGGTGCTGGGAGCGTTGGGGAACCGGTGCTGGGAGCGTTGGGAACCGGTGCTGGGAGCGCTGGGAACCGGTGCTGGGAGCGTTGGGGAACCGGTGCTGGGAGCGCTGGGGAACCGGTGCTGGGAGCGTTGGGAACCGGTGCTGGGAGCGTTGGGGAACCGGTGCTGGGAGCGTTGGGGAACCGGTGCTGGGAGCGCTGGGAACCGGTGCTGGGAGCATTGGGAACCGGTGCTGGGAGCGTTGGGAACCGGTGCTGGGAGCATTGGGAACCGGTGCTGGGAGCGTTGGGAACCGGTGCTGGGAGCATTGGGAACCGGTGCTGGGAGCGTTGGGGAACCGGTGCTGGGAGCGTTGGGGAACCGGTGCTGGGAGCATTGGGAACCGGTGCTGGGAGCGTTTGGGAACCGGTGCTGGGAGCGCTGGGGAACCGGTGCTGGGAGCATTGGGGAATCGGTGCTGGGAGCGCTGGGAACCGGTGCTGGGAGCGTTGGGGAACCGGTGCTGGGAGCGCTGGGGAACCGGTGCTGGGAGCATTGGGAACCGGTGCTGGGAGCGTTGGGGAACCGGTGCTGGAATCGCTGGGGAACCGGTGCTGGGAGCGTTGGGAACCGGTGCTGGGAGCGTTGGGGAACCGGTGCTGGGAGCGTTGGGAACCGGTGCTGGGAGCGTTGGGGAACCGGTGCTGGGAGCATTGGGGAACCGGTGCCGGGATCGCTGGGGAACCGGTGCCGGGAGCGTTGGGAACCGGTGCTGGGAGCGTTGGGGAACCGGTGCTGGGAGCGTTGGGGAACCGGTGCTGGGAGCGTTGGGAACCGGTGCTGGGAGCGTTGTGGAACCGGTGCTGGGAGCATTGGGAACCGGTGCTGGGAGCGTTGGGGAACCGGTGCTGGAATCGCTGGGGAACCGGTGCTGGGAGCGTTGGGAACCGGTGCTGGGAGCGTTGGGGAACCGGTGCTGGGAGCGTTGGGGAACCGGTGCTGGGAGCGCTGGGGAACTGGTGCTGGGAGCGTTGGGAACCGGTGCTGGGAGCGTTGGGGAACCGGTGCTGGGAGCGTTTGGAACCGGTGCTGGGAGCGTTTGGAGCGTTTGGAACCGGTGCTGGGAGCGTTTGGAACCGGTGCTGGGAGCGTTGGGGAACCGGTGCTGGGAGCATTGGGGAACCGGTGCCGGGATCGCTGGGGAACCGGTGCCGGGAGCGTTGGGAACCGGTGCTGGGAGCGTTGTGGAACCGGTGCTGGGAGCATTGGGAACCGGTGCTGGGAGCGTTGGGGAACCGGTGCTGGAATCGCTGGGGAACCGGTGCTGGGAGCGTTGGGAACCGGTGCTGGGAGCGTTGGGGAACCTGTGCTGGGAGCGTTGGGGAACCGGTGCTGGGAGCGCTGGGGAACTGGTGCTGGGAGCGTTGGGAACCGGTGCTGGGAGCGTTGGGGAACCGGTGCTGGGAGCGTTTGGAACCGGTGCTGGGAGCGTTTGGAGCGTTTGGAACCGGTGCTGGGAGCGTTTGGAACCGGTGCTGGGAGCGTTGGGGAACCGGTGCTGGGAGCGTTGTGGAACCGGTGCTGGGAGCGTTGGGAACCGGTGCTGGGAGCGTTGGGAACCGGTGCTGGGATTGTTGGGAACCGGGGCTGGGAGCGTTGGGAACCGGTGCTGGGAGCGTTGGGGAACCGGTGCTGGGAGCGTTGGGGAACCGGTGCTGGGAGCGTTGGGGAACCGGTGCTGGGAGCGTTGGGGAACCGGTGCTGGGAGCGTTGGGAACCGGTGCTGGGAGCGTTGGGAACCGGTGCTGGGAGCATTGGGAACCGGTGCTGGGAGCGTTGGGGAACCGGTGCTGGGAGCGTTGGGAACCGGTGCTGGGAGCGTTGGGGAACCGGTGCTGGGAGCGTTGGGGAACCGGTGCTGGGAGCGTTGGGAACCGGTGCTGGGAGCGTTGTGGAACCGGTGCTGGGAGCGTTGGGGAATCGGTGCTGGGAGCGTTGTGGAACCGGTGCTGGGAGCGTTGGAAACCGGTGCTGGGAGCGTTGGGGAACCGGTGCTGGGAGCGTTGGGGAACCGGTGCTGGGAGCGTTGGGGAACCGGTGCTGGGAGCGTTGGGAACCGGTGCTGGGAGCGTTGGGGAACCGGTGCTGGGAGCATTGGGGAACCGGTGCTGGGAGCGCTGGGGAACCGGTGCTGGGAGCGTTGGGAACCGGTGCTGGGAGCGTTGGGGAACCGGTGCTGGGAGCGTTGGGAACCGGTGCTGGGAGCGTTGGGGAACCGGTGCTGGGAGCGTTGGGGAACCGGTGCTGGGAGCGTTGGGAACCGGTGCTGGGAGCGTTGGGGAACCGGTGCTGGGTGGATTGGGAACCGGTGCTGGGAGCGCTGGGAACCAGTGCTGGGAGCGTTGGGAACCAGTGCTGGGAGCATTGGGAACCAGTGCTGGGAGCATTGGGAACCGGTGCTGGGAGCGTTGGGGAACCGGTGCTGGGAGCGTTGGGGAACCGGTGCTGGGAGCGTTGGGAACCGGTGCTGGGAGCGCTGGGGAACCGGTGCTGGGAGCGTTGGGGAACCGGTGCTGGGAGCGTTGGGGAACCGGTGCTGGGAGCGTTGGGGAACCGGTGCTGGGAGCGTTGTGGAACCGGTGCTGGGAGCGCTGGGGAACCGGTGCTGGGAGCGTTGGGAACCGGTGCTGGGAGCGTTTGGGAACCAGTGCTGGGAGCGTTGGGGAACCGGTGCTGGGAGCGTTGGGGAACCGGTGCTGGGAGCGTTGGGAACCGGTGCTGGGAGCGTTGGGAACCGGTGCTGGGAGCGTTGGGGAACCGGTGCTGGGAGCGTTGGGAACCGGTGCTGGGAGCGTTGGGGAACCGGTGCTGGGAGCATTGGGAACCGGTGCTGGGAGCGTTGGGGAACCGGTGCTGGGAGCGTTGGGAACCGGTGCTGGGAGCGCTGGGGAACCGGTGCTGGGAGCATTGGGAACCGGTGCTGGGAGCGTTGGGGAACCGGTGCTGGGAGCGTTGGGAACCGGTGCTGGGAGCGTTGGGAACCGGTGCTGGGAGCGCTGGGAACCGGTGCTGGGAGCGTTGGGGAACCGGTGCTGGGAGCGTTGGGAACCGGTGCTGGGAGCGTTGGGAACCGGTGCTGGGAGCATTGGGAACCGGTGCTGGAATCGCTGGGGAACCGGTGCTGGGAGCATTGGGAACCGGTGCTGGGAGCATTGGGAACCGGTGCTGGAATCGCTGGGGAACCGGTGCTGGGAGCGTTTGGGAACCGGTGCTGGGATCCCTGGGGAACCGGTGCTGGGAGCGTTTGGGAACCGGTTCTGGCAGCGTTGGGGAACCGGTGCTGGGAGCGTTGGGGAACCGGTGCTGGGAGCATTGGGAACCGGTGCTGGGAGCGTTGGGAACCGGTGCTGGGAGCGTTGGGAACCGGTGCTGGGAGCGTTGTGGAACCGGTGCTGGGAGCGTTGGGGAACCGGTGCTGGGAGCGCTGGGGAACCGGTGCTGGGAGCGTTGGGGAACCGGTGCTGGGAGCGTTGTGGAACCGGTGCTGGGAGCGTTGGGAACCGGTGCTGGGAGCGTTGGGGAACCGGTGCTGGGAGCGTTGTGGAACCGGTGCTGGGAGCGCTGGGGAACCGGTGCTGGGAGCGTTGGGAACCGGTGCTGGCAGCGCCGCCGGTGCCGCTCGCCGCTCCTCCCGGTGCATCCTGCCGTGCCGCCGGTGAGCAGCCGCCCTCCATTCCCCTTGCCCCTCGCCCTCCGAGCTGGGCGGCCGCTCTGCCGGCACGGGGTGCGGGCACCCAGTCCCCTCTGCGGGACCCCAACTGCAGCACGGCCGGGGGGGCCAGACCCCCCCCCCCCCGCCTGGCGCTCGCCTCTCCCGGGGTGACGGAGGCCTGTGTGGGACTGGCGTTTTCTGGCTGCATCCGCCCCTGTTGGGGTCCCTGCTGCAGGCAGCGCCAGCAAAGCCTGTAGCTCCGGTTGCCATGGCAATGCCTGAGCGTTGAATCCAGCATTGTCAGCCAGCGAGCGCGAGGAGGAGGAGGAGGAGGAGGAGGAGGAGGCGCCTCGAGTGAAGAGGAAGAGCCCTCGCCTCGTCCCTGCTCCGGTGGGCTCATGGCATGCGGTGCCCGCGGGGCAGCCCCGCGGGCCGGCCCGGCTAGGCAGCCCCCCGGGGCAGCCCCGCGCCCCGGCACAGCGCCGCGCCGGCCGGTGCCGGCCATGTGCCCCCGCTGCCCGGCGCGGAGCCGGCCGCCTCCAGCGCGTCAGTAGGGCCGGGGAGCCTGGCCCCGTCCCGGACACGGCCGAGCCGGCACAGGAGGGTGGGTGGGCTGTGTTTCGCTGGGGGATGCGCCGCGCCGAGGCGGGGATGAGAGACTGAGATCAGGCCTGCTGGACTTGTTTCTCCCTCCTACCCTCCACCCATGGCGTGTGCGGAGGGGAAGCAGCCATCAAAGCTGTTTGCTGAGTCCCACAGGCAGGCAGCCAGCTGCCTGAGACAGATTTAATTCGCGAGAGGCTTTCATAGCCGTAGCATCTCCGGTAGCTGCAGGGGGGCAGGCGCAGCCTGGGGACATGACTTGGACTCTCCTCCGCTGAGGGCTGTGGGAGCCTGGGCAGCGTGCACGTGCCTGCGGGAGCCACCGGCCCCTCCGCGCCGGGGCCTGCCCCGTGCCCCGGGACTGTGCTACCGAGACCATGAAGAAGTTTGCCTCCACGCGCAGCCTCAATAAGATCCTGCAGCAGTGCGACTCCTCATCCCGCGAGTACGAGGAGATCCAGGCTGTGGAGAAGAAGTGGCACCTGCATCTGGCCACTCCTCGTAAGTTCCTGGACAAGAAATGCAAAATGCCGTCTCTCTTCCTTTCAGCTCCGCCGCCTCCCAAGAGAGCGCCCAGCACCACCCTGACGCTGCGTTCCAAGTCCATGACGGCCGAGCTGGAGGAGCTGGGTAAGCGGCGGCGGGGGCTCGCGCGCGCATGCCGGGCTGCATGGGGAGCATGCGGGGCCGTGCCCGGCGCGGGCGGCACCCTCGCCCGGCCTCCGCGCTCCTCCCGCGCCGGAGGCTGCGGGGCGCGGGGGGGGCTGGGAGCCGCAGGGGCGCGGGACACCCCCCCCATCCCCGCAGAGCCCTCCACCCCTTCCGTGCCGCCTCCCCGGGGGGAGGACGCCGGGTGCCTCCGCGTGCTGGCGGGGAGGCTCGCCGCCCCCGTGCCCCGTCCATCAGGCACCCTGCGCCTCCCGCGCTCCAAACAGCCCCTTGTTTTTATTTTCCCCTACCCCCAGGCAGATACCACATGCTGCCAGATTAGCTGGCATCCCCCTGGGCCGCCCTCCCCCCTTACACGCACACATGCCCATGCACACACGCTCACACGTTCTGCTGTCACTACAGAGCCTACCCACGTTTCCAGATGCTTTGGTAGCCCAGCTTGCATCTCCATGTTCCTATATTCTCTTAAAGCCCCTGCACTCCCCCCGGTGCCGAAGCCCCTCAGTCTCCCCAGCATTTCTGGCGACCCCGGTGAGCCCACGCTTCCCCAGTGCGCTGGGCTCCCCCCAGCAGCGTCCTGCCCGCTGAGGGGTGTTCACGAGCGGCCGTCCCGTCCCCCTGCACGGAGCGATTTGCCCGTTTTTGCCCCGCGTTGCCCCTCGCGCGCTGCAGAGGCCGCAGGGCAGCCGAGCAGGGCTCTCCGCCGGCGCGGCGATGCCGGCACAACTGGGGAGCCTGGCTACCGCAGCGGCGGCCGGGTGGCCCTCGTGGCCCGCGGGGCAGCAGGAGATGCGGAGGGACCCCTTCTGCTGGGGGGGCCTTGGGGGCAGCCGCGCTCCGAGGCTGGCTCTGCCGAGCCGGGCACAGGGGGCCGGAGGTGGAGCGTCGGCAGAGCGCGAGGGAGCCGCTCTCGGCGCTGCCTGCTGCCCTGGCTCCCGCTGCCGCCGTCGGGAGTTTTGGTTTTGCCGGGTGAAAGTGTGGTGTGTACAGATGGTGCCTGCTGGGCGCGGCGCAGAGGCCGAGCGTGGCAGAGCCCTGTCCTGCCTGGGAGGAGACCCGCCCCAGGGGCAGGAACCTTGCCAGAGACCCCCCGCCCCTCTTCTTCAGGGTGTTGGGCGGAAGCTCCACGACCTTTCTCGCTCTGTCCCACACACATATCCAGGCTTTACAACCCTGCGGGTTTTGCCTTGAAAGACCTTGAGGCTTCAGGCTCAGCGCTCAAACATAGGTTTGAAGGGACAAATCTCAGCGTTTAGGGGTTTGCATCAGCTGGTTGATGGCCGCTGTGATTTATGTTATGCTGAGCCCACTGCCTTGATTTTCACCCTAGCTTCTCCAGACCTTTATTACTAAACCTGAAGGCGCTGTGTTTGCTAGTAGCCATTAGGAGAGGATTCAGAATCGCCCGTTTCTTCCCCTTTTTGCTCTTCCCTTTGCACAGACACCGCATAGACCCCAGGTTTCATATTTTTGCTCTCGGTTGCCGGTCCTGAAAGCAGCTCCCAGCCGGTGTGACGGGCGCCTGCTTGCACGCACGGGCAGCATGTTGCCTCTGTGAGAACACGTTCCCCAGCTGCATGTGCCCGCCTTCGGTGAGCATCACGCCCGAGTCAAAGCCTGGCACGTGTGGTGCAGGCGCCTTTGCGGGGGGACGGGCACCCCAACCGCGGCGCTCGGCCTCGCGAGTGCCAGGCGGGGTGGGAGACGTGGCCATGGGACGACCCGCACCGTGGCGACGCGCAGCGGTGCGAGGGAAGGGGCCCCATTTGCATGTGTTTTGGCAAGCAGAGCTGCTGGGCTCGAGGGGGAGGGGAGCAAGCTCGTGGAAAGGGAAGTCACGAAAAGCAGAGAAATAGCTCTGCCACAGAATATATTAAAGATGAGTCCTCCAGGTCTCCCTGAGGATTTTGCATCTAGACGCTGCCTCTCTTCTACCTGGAGAGGGACTAGGAGCGGCAGCTGCCCATGTCTCCTGGGAGAGGGATTTGTAGAGAGTGACTGGTCTTAGTCCACAGGTTTTCCAGGAAATTGTAGTGGTTAGTCCCTTCTTCCCTTCCTGTGGATCGGGGAGAATGCTGTAGCCAGTCCCACCACACATCCGCAGGGAGCACGGCAGAGGGAAAACGGGGGATCGTTCCTCCTCCTGCACTTTGTCTTCTGGTAGTTGATGCTCCAGCTTTTACTGCGAAAGGAGAGTTTTTATGCAGGTCAGCATCCCCGCACCTCAGCAGTGTACAAGTTTAGAGCCCAATCTCCTTCTCTGAGGGGACGGTGGTGTTGGTGAAAGGGACGTTTCTACCTGCAGCTTCTTGAAGGGAGCTTTGTTGGATGGTCCCTGCCCCTTTTTCCTTAAAGGCAGTCCCTGTCCTGCAGCTTGCAGAACATCCCATGTGCCCGTAGCCATACCTTAACGTTTTGTTGCTGCGTGTTGTGCCAGTCCCCTTGGAAAAGCAGATTCCCAGCAAGCTGCTAACAAAGCCCTCCTGTCCTGCAGTCCTGGCATTTACAGGATGCAGAGGAAACTGGCTTTGGGAGTCGTGCAGACTGCCATGTCTCCTCTGAGAGCAGGGAGGGACTAAAAGCTTTTAAATGAGGTTCTCCATGGCTTGGGCATCAAATGCCATCCAGACGTCCTCCTGGCCTTGCTTCCTTCTGGCACCGCGCCTTCCCTCCGCTCGCCCGGTCGGAGGAGGAGGAGGAGGAGGGCTCGGCGGAGGGCTGGGCCCGGCGGTGGGGCTGGCGGAGGGCCCGGCCGGTGCCGGTCCCTGCCCTCAGCCTTCCCGCGGAGGGGGAGGACGCCCAGGGTGCTGCACCCCCTGCCCTGCCCGAGCCTCCATCCGAGAGCCCCCGGCGAGGCAGGGACGCGCTCCGCTGTCCGGGCCTGATCCTGCCAGCATGCTGGGAGGCAGGAGAGCGTGCAGGGAAGAGGCACAGCAGGCAGGCAGCGAGGCTGGAGCTGGGAATGAAAGCAGGAACTGTGCATGCCATTCACGTTGTCTTTTGTTTCTTGATTCCAAGCCTCCATGCGGAGAAGAAAAGGGGGTGAGTGAAACCGCACATCCTGGGGCTCCTCCCTTCCCCGTCAGCCCCCCAGCCCGCCCCGCTCAGGCACACACGGTGCACCCCGGGGGGCTGGCCCAGGACACCGTCCCCCCGGTCGTCACGGGAAGGCTGGGCCCGAGGGGAGCCGGAGCTCTGCGGGTCAGGGTCCCGCGGGGAGCAGCGGCCACGCGCGGCTCCGGCGGGGCAGCGGAAAGGCCCCAACCGGCGCGGCCGCGCGGGGCTGGCGTTGGGCGCGGGCAGGAGCGCCCGTCTGCCAGCCGGGCCCCCTGCGCCTCCAGGGCTGACGTCCCCGGGTGCTGCGCTTGCTTTGTGCCTGCCCCACGGTGAAAACACCTCGCACAGGAATGTCCCCGCCGGCGGGGTCCGAAGTGCAGCCTCCCTCTGCCCCCCCCGGTCGGGCTCTGGGGCTCGGTCAGGTGGAATGGCAGCCACGCGCGTTGCCGTGCTGCTCCCGGCGGCCCCGCGCCAAGGAAGCGCCTGGGGACGGACCTGCGGTGCAGGCCGGGCTCGGGGGCAGCTCCGAGGCCGTACCCGAGTTAGCTGGGGAGAGCTGGTCTGACCATTAAGCGTCCCCGTGCCGGGCGGAGGGGGCCACCACCGTGAAGGCCACGCTATCGGTGCCCACACTGCTGGGGTAAAGCTGGGTGCAGCAGGGCTCCGTCGGTGACGGCTGCACGGCACGGTGTCTGTGCGGACACTGCATGAGGGACACTACAAAACCTGGAGGTCCTTTCCAGGGCTGTGAGCCAGTCAGAGAAATCCTGAATGGAGCGAGGAGGCTCATCCCGTGCCAGCACACAGCTCTGCATTTCTCCAACACGGGCACAGGGCAGAGGGGAGGGAGCCTGGAGGCCTGGCCTCAGTTCTTAGCCTTTCAGAAACAAAACTCTGTCCTGGTAATGTGAAGCTAGAGAGATGCTTCCCAGGGAACGGGAGGTGTGAGGGACCAGCTCTTCCACCATAACAGTGATAGCACAGGGAAGAAGCTGAGCAGCGCTCATGAGCGGGAGGTCTCTGAGGGACCCCCCAGACCTCTGTACCGAGCAGATCTGCCAGTACCCGGGGGTGGAGGCAATGCAGAGGTCCCATGGATCAGAACGATCGGCTGGAGGTCACCAGGGATGTCCTGACATTGAAGATGGCATGGTCGAGGCAATCCCCAGCACAAACCTCGTGGGGTTCAACAAGGCCAAGGGCAAGGGCCTGCCCGGGGGTCGGGGCGATCCCCAGCACAAACCCAGGCTGGGCCCTCGAGGGGTGGCTGGAGAGCAGCCCCAAGGAGAGGGGCTGGGGGTGCTGGGGGGGGGAAAACTGCCCGTGAGGCAGCCCCGTGCGCTCGCAGCCCAGAACCCACCCGTGCCCTGGGCTGCAGCCAGAGCAGGGGGGCAGCAGGGCCAGGGAGGGGATTCTCCCCCTCTGCTCCGCTCTGGGGAGACCCCCCTGCAGTGCTGGGGCCAGCTCGGGGGCCCCCAACAGCAGAAGGACACGGAGCTGCTCGAGCGGGGCCAGAGGAGGCCACGGAGATGCTGGGGGGGCTGGAGCAGCTCCCCTGGGGGGCCGGGCTGAGAGAGTTGGGGGGGGTCAGCCTGGAGAAGAGAAGGCTCCGGGGGGACCCTGAGAGTGGCCTCCCAGGGCTTAAAGGGGGGGCAGGAGAGGTGGGGGGGGACTCTGGGTCAGGGGGTGAGGGTAGGACGAGGGGGGACGGTTTTAAACTGAAAGAGGGCAGATTTAGATTGGATATAAGGCAGAAATCCTTCCCTGTGCGGGGGGTGAGGTGCTGGCCCAGGGTGCCCAGAGCAGCTGTGGGTGCCCCCTCCCTGGAAGGGTTCAAGGCCAGGTTGGACGGGGCTGGGAGCCCCCTGGGCTGGGGGAAGGGGGCCCTGCCCGGGGCAGGGGAGTAGAACTAGAGGATCTTTAAGGTCCATTCTGACTCGGACCCTTCCGTGATCTCCAAGTGCATGGTGCACAGCTCTTGCCAGAGCCCTGGGCTGCACCCATTCCTGGGGGTCCCTCCTCAGGGTGTCTCCAGCTCCACCTCATTTCCCTGGAGGCAGGCAGGATCCTCTCCGGGATCGTCTTCCATCTCCTGCGAAGGCAGATACAAACTGCAGTTAGTGGCGATTTGTCTCCCTGCACTCTAACGGCATGAAAAGGCGGGGAGTAAAGCTGGAGGCAGAGGCGGGGGGAGAGGGCTGAGCTTTGCTGTTACTCCTCTCACAGCACCGGGGTCCCCAGACTGACAGCGCTACAGGGCTGCCCAGAGCAGCCTCCAGAGACCCCGATGAGGCAGGTTTCCAGCACATGGTCTTCAGAATCAGCCCGTGGCCCGTCCCCTCCCGAGGCTGGGCTGCCGGAGGCCGGTGGTGTCTGGCTGTAAGGGGCCATCGGGGTCACACAGCAGTGAGGAAGAGGAACCGTGAAGCCCCCCCAGAACCATCCTCGGATGGTTGGCTACTGGCGGTCTCATGCCGAGGGAGTTCAGAAGGTGGCCCGAGCTGTTGCCTTGGAGTGGGTGCAGGTCCCTAGTCCCAGGGCCTTGGTGGGTACCCCCCACCAAGGGTGCTGGCCTCGGGGCGCACACGTCCCCTTGGCATCAGTGTTTGCTCAGGGCTTGCTCCTCCACGGACTGGGCTTCTGAAATGTTTGGGACTCATTTTTGATTTCTTAACCCAGGAATGCTGGCTTGCAGACAGCTGCTGCGGCCACAGTGCGCAGAGGTACTGCAGCTGGCCCTCGAGTCATATCAGCCCTCGGTTTTGTAGGAGTATGGGCCTGATGGTCACGGCCCTCCAGGTCACTTGGGTCAGCAACAACCGTGCCGTTTCGCAGTCCCAAGTTCAACAGCCAGGCTGGAAGGAGCCCAGAAGTTTGCAAGCCTTATGTGAGGGCAGGCAGAGCTTGACAGCCTTACGGGGCGAGCGCTGCACGCGTTCTCCCCTCTCCCTGGGCACTTTACTGGGATGGAGCATTGGTTGTGCCGTGGAGGTAGAGGCACCCAGTCTCGACGACCGCCAAGGCAGAGCCGTCAGCCCCGGCACAGCACCGTGCCAGCGTCACGGCCGCGCTCCAGGGCCGGCTGACACCATTTGTGACATGGAGCCGACAGGCTCGACCCTGCACCGAGTCCAACCGCGCACCCGGCCCTGCCAAGTGCACCACTAAACCACGTCCCCAAGCGCCGCACCTGCACCTCAATGGATGGGGACTCGGGGAGGGGGGACTCGGTCCCATTCTGAATATCAAAAACATATCTGGGCAAAAACTTGCGCTTTTAGTGTAAGGATCGAGGCTTCCTCGAAGCGCGGCGCAGCTAGGAGCGGTCCCCCCGCCTTGGGAGCCGGCAGGCAGACCCCCGGGGGGCAGGCGGGCTGGTCGGGGTGCCCGGGCAGCACGGGTGCAGCCGGGGCGGGCGAGCGGCACGGGGCCGGTGCTGCTGCTCCTCAAAGCGCCTCCAGGTCTCCGCTAGCCGCTGGCTGGGGAGGGGACGACTGAGCGGCCGCTTCCTCGACGCCGTGCTCAGCAGGCCCGGGGACGTTCGCTCCCTGCTTAGCCACGCTGCTGGGGTGGGCCTGTCGCAGGGGAGCTGCCGCGGGCCGGTGGCCCTTGCTAACCCGCTTGCTCTTATGTTTGGATTTTCAGAGAAACTGGATGAGATTTTGGCAGCAGCCGAGCCCGCGCTGAGAGCAGACATTGTCGAAGCAGATTCTAGGGCAGCCACTGTGAAGCAGCGACCGACAAGCCGGCGCATCACGCCAGCAGAAATCAGTGTGAGAGAGGAGGGCTCGCGGTGGGAGAGGGAAGGGCACGTCGTGCTGTGGCAGATGCTGACTGCCAGCCCCGAGACGGGCGCTGGGGAGTGGGTTTCCCAGGGGATTGGAAGGAGAGAGTCTGGGGGAGAGCAGGAGTCGGGGCAGGTGGTGGAGAGGCTGACCCGGGCGGTTTGGCACTCGCTCGCCAGGATGGGATTGCCACGGCAGGGACGTAAAAGCGGATCTGAAGGAGTGTGGAAGGCTGAGCTGGAGAGCTTAGTCTGGCTGCAGTTTTCTGGATGTGAAGCTGGAAATTAGGAGGAATCAAAGAAGAGAAAAACGCTGTCTCTGAGGGGAAGCATGGATGGAGTAGGAGTGGGGCTGCCAGCTCCAGGCTGTCTGGATTGTGAAAGTGCTGCAGGCGGTGGGAGGCAGCTTCTGGAGCAGGAGGTAAAATGGGACAGGCTGCTTGTGAGCAGAGACTGGCCTGAGAGGAGCCTTCCCACGGGAGGAAGGCTGCTGCTGGAGCCAGCATCACCGTGCCACCCCAGCCCGGGCACAACCGGCCCGAGAGCCAGCAGCGGGGAGAGAGGGCAGGCAGAGGAGACAGGGGAGAAGGGGCAGGCAGGGAGAGAGGGGACAGGCAGGGGAGAGAGGGGGCAGGCAGGGAGAGAGGGGGCAGGCAGGGGAGAGGGGGCAGGCAGAGGAGAGGGGGCAGGCAGGGGAGAGGGGACAGGCAGGGAGAGAGGGGGCAGGCAGGGGAGAGAGGGCAGGCAGGGAGAGAGGGGACAGGCAGGGAGAGAGGGGGCAGGCAGGGAGAGAGGGCAGGCAGGGAGAGAGGGGGCAGGCAGGGGAGAGGGCAGGCAGCAGAGAGGGGGCAGGCAGGGAGAGAGGGCAGGCAGGGGAGAGGGGGCAGGCAGGGGAGAGGGGGAGCAGGCAGGGGAGAGGGGGCAGGCAGGGGAGAGGGGACAGGCAGGGAGAGGGGGCAGGCAGGGGAGAGGGGGAGCAGGCAGGGGAGAGGGGGCAGGCAGGGGAGAGGGGACAGGCAGGGAGAGGGGGCAGGCAGGGGAGAGGGGGCAGGCAGGGAGAGAGGGGGAGCAGGCAGGGGAGAGGGGGCAGGCAGAGGAGAGAGGGGGCAGGCAGGGGAGAGGGGGCAGGCAGGGGAGAGAGGGCAGGCAGGGGAGAGGGGGCAGGCAGAGGAGAGAGGGCAGGCAGGGGAGAGAGGGCAGGCAGGGGAGAGGGGGCAGGCAGGGGAGAGAGGGCAGGCAGGGGAGAGAGGGCAGGCAGGGGAGAGGGGGCAGGCAGGAGGAGAGAGGGGGCAGGCAGGAGGAGAGAGGGGGCAGGCAGGAGGAGCAGGCAGGGGAGAGGGGGCAGGCAGGGGAGAGGGGGCAGGCAGGAGGAGCAGGCAGGGAGAGGAGACAGGGCAGATGGGAGAGAGGGCAGGCAGGTGGAGCAGGCAGAGGGGAGCGGGGAGACAGGAGAGAGGGAGGAAGGGGAGGAGGGAGGGAGGTTGGTTTAACCTTTCAAAGGGCAATAGCACAGGTTTTTGAGATGCTGGAGGGGCAGCAGGGAAGAGGGACAGCTGAAGGTGGAGGTGAGGAGGGGGTCTGTCCTTGTCCCCAGGGAGGGGCGGCAGGGACAGGGTCTGGCATGGGGATCCTTCTCCCCCAGTCAGAAGGATCAGGTGGGCTGAGATGAAGTGTTGTGTCCTTTCAGCTGAGTCTCACTGATGTCCAGAATGGAAATTTCCTTTTTCTCTCTTCCAGTCACTCTTTGAACGCCAGGGTATGGCAGCACACTCGGGGGTCCTTGCGGGAGCTGAGAAGCCCCATGTTTCACTGCGCAAAGGAATTCCACGGACAAAATCTGTAGGTAAGGCAAACTGGGGGGGGGGAATCCCTTCCTAAACAGGAAAGATGGTCCCCGTGGAGTGTTCGTACTTGCGCCCAAACCAGCGGGAAGGACTCAGCCCTCTCTGCTGGCGTGTAACTAAAGGTCTTTGAAGAGGGGATGTTTAATGCGATTCCTGCTTCGAAGGTAGCATGTGCCCTGAGAAACCAGGACCTGGCACTGGTCCTGCTCTGAGCAGAGGGCTGGATGGGGCCCGCCACCGGTCCCTTGCTCTCTCAGTCTCTTCACAGCACTGCCAGGGATGGGGGATTTTCTCCCACCCTCTGTGCTGGCAAATGAGGGGCGGTGGGTGATTTTCTGTCTGCCCATGTAGCGGCTGGGCGTGCAGCGTGCTGAACACGGGGGTGGTTGAGCGTAAGACCATGAGCTGTCACAGACTGAGACAATGGAGCAGGTAACAACTGAATTTTTTTCTACGGAAAAAGAGGACAGAGTCTGGAACAGGCACTCATCTGTGGGCTACAGCGCGATCTTTAGAGCCTGTCCCAAAAGGTTTACAGTGCCCCCAAACCCAAAAACCCGCTGGAGGAGGGAGGTGGGAGGACGAGACAGACCAAACAGGGGCTGGTGGCACAGTGACAGCCTGGGGGGCTCGTTTTCTCCTCTTGATTTTGTGTCTCAGTGGGTTTCATCCAGGTGGTAACATCAGTGCACAGTGCTGGGGAGGTCTGAGCTGGGGCGAGCGCGTTATCGCTTAGGGAGAGAGGCTGGGGGGTGGGAGGGAAGGGGGCAGAGAGGAGGGTGGTGTGCTCTGGGGCAAGTGTTCAGTGAGTAACTCCAAGGCATCGCGTGGTAGTAATGGTGATGCCAGGACAGATTGTGTGTTTAACACACAAAATAAGTGAATAGAAAGTAAATTCTGCTTCGAGCTACAGCTGAGAGCAGCACAATCCCGGCAAGAATGTAAAAAAAATGTTGAAAAATGAAAGGGTTAGTATGCTAAATGTACTTTTTATTGTACAGAGCCACCGAATTGCTGTGCATGCGTGCCTCACATTCGTGTTTATATGGGAGCAGCTGGTACCTGTAGTCCCCCATGAGACTGATCTGGGAGTAGTAGCTAGCTAGAGATAATCGAATGTGTGTATGCTTAATCTGAAAAACAAACTGGGAGAGATAATCCTAAAAAAAAAAAAGCGTGGGTGTTTAAGGGCCTGCCCTGGTGTGTATTTACGCACCGTGTTGATAAAGCTGTTCTGCCATGAAATCTGCAGGCAGAGAGCTCCCGTAGCTGGGAAGAGCTGAAATAGAACCTGGGCCGAGCAGATGATGCAACGCAGTGTTGGAAGTGAATGTAGGCATTAATTAGTTGTGCATACGTTGCAATACTGTTCATGTAGATGGTAGAAAGGGAGCAGAGCTGACTGCCTCGGTCACAGCACCGCCCCACGGACTTGCTGGAGTAGCAGTAACCAGTTCTTTTTCTTGTGGAGGCAGTAAAAACGCTCGGCAGCACTTGCGGGACGGGATTTGTCTCACGCAGCTTTACATGTTAACAGTGCAGAAATCTCCACCCAGGCGAGGTGCCCGGGAACCCTCTGTAGTGACCAGAGGGAAACGGGCACTGTTGGCACGATTCACCCCGTCCCCCCCTCCGCGGTGACTCCTGCACAAGTGCCCCTTGACTCGGAGCCGTACCCAGTGACCGCTGAGGTGGTCGGCACCGGCAGACAAGCCTGCAGCTGAAGGGCGTGTGTATTGTGCAAACTCTGTCCTCAGTGGTTGTTCTGTGCAGGGGGATGTCTGGGAAAATGCTTCGAAGCAGTTGCTCAAGGTTCAGTCAAGCCACAAGCAGCTGGAAATCATCCTGAAGGGGATCTATTGTCTGAAATAGAGCATCTTAACCCAGTGATAGATCGTAAACTGGAAAAGCATTCATTAAATATTAAATACTTGCCTGTAAGGAGCTCCTTTTTGCTTGTGAAAGCAGAGTCAGTGACTCGGGAAGCCCCTCTAAACCTACACCTCATTGTGTGATGCTTGTTGTGCAGGTAAACTGTCAAGGATCGCTGTGTACAGAGAACTGTGAGAAGTGGAATTCAGCGTTTGTAGGGTTTGCTGGGTTGTGTGTAGGGTTTATATGCCCGTGAGCACAGAGTATGGTGTCCCACGTACATCTTTTTTTGTTGAGCACCTAGAGCACTGAGCCCCCGATACTTGCACGGGATTCCCAGCCGCTGCAGCTACAGGCATCATGCAACAGGGGGATTAGAAACTCTCAATTTAATCTGCATCGGGGAGGATTAAAAGCAGGCCTGGAGGTGCCCTGTTCTGATCTGGAATGGCGGCAGCTGTCGCGAGCACAGCATCCGAGCACAACCCAACAATAAGTACAGGAAAAAAATCACACGTTAATTATGCTCGATCCAAGAATGGCATGCGTCTGTCTGCACCGAAGGGAACAATTCCTGCTGAGGAGGGGACAGCAACTTCTTGTTTCCAGTTTGCCTGCCACAATACACACCAAAAGCAATGCCTCTTAGAAACCAGCAAATTTTTGTGGAATTCCAGATAAGCTAAAATAGAAAACGGCCAAACAGTAGAAATTGGGTTGCAATTGGCTTGTTTTAGAAGTCCTTGAGCTGTCATTTCACACCCACAATGACAGGCTCATACGCTGTACAGTCAGTTGACTTCATGATAAAAATCACTACTAAAAGCAAGGAACTAGATGAAAAATAAGCAGGGGTTGGTTGGTTGGTTTGTTTTTTGGTGAAGAAACGCTCTGAACTATTTGCATATTACACAGCTGGTTTAGATTCCTAGGGACTTGTGACAAAAGATCAAAGCATTTCATGTTTGCATCTAAAAATGTTTTGAGACAAAGGTAGTTAACCCTCAGCTGGCTACAAAGAAAGCAGAGTGGAAGGAATTTCAACAAAAATGTGAAGAAAAGAAATGCATTGCAGCGGGGAGGCTGATAGAAAAGAAAAATCTCTGTCAGACTTCCAAGATAGCTACCACACCATCTGCTCCAGCATCAGAAGTTAAAAACACTTGAAAGTCTGCAGAGCCGCCGTGGCACCCGCTGCGCCTCTGCCCTGAGCGGGCTCAGCACGATGCCGATGGTGGGTCTGGGGGGGACGGGGGGCACGGGCGGCCCTGGCAGATGCTCCCGGGGCACTGGGCGCTCTCTCGGTGCTCGGGGGCGCGGAGGCCGCCGGGGACCCCCAGCTCGGGGCCGGGGGAGCACCCGCGGGGCTGGCGGGGGGCCGCGGGCAGCCCTCCCTGATCCGGGGGGAGCTCCCGGTGCTTTCCCCTCTCCCGGGCAGGCTCTCGCGTTCACCCTAGCTGCAGTCCGAGCTGTGTGCCGTAGCAGCCGGCACAGCGCTGTGACTTCGCTGCTCTCTGAAGGGCAGAGGGCTTTCCTCCTCCTCCTCCTCCTCCTCCTCCTCCTCCTCCTCCTCCTCCTCCTGCCAGGTCTGTGGGTGCCCGGGGTGGATGTCAGCCCCGTGCACCAGAGGACGGTGACGTTCACCCGCTTTCCGCTCCTGGACGGGAGCGAAGCCGCGGCGCTTGGCACCTCTCTGCTGTAGCTCGGGGGCGGTTTGGGGAGCTGCTCTGCCGTCCCTGCGCAGGGAGAGCAGGGTTGGCAACGGTGGGGTGTGCTCTGGAGAGAGCCACCTCATTAGCTATCCCAAATTAACGCACAGCGCTAGGTTCTCGCAGGGATTTAGGCTGTTATGGCAACAGGCCCAAAAGCATTCTGGAGAGGTTTTGTGTTTTCCTTAGAGACTAATAATGCATTGAGCGCGCTGCGAACTGCGGAGGGGGGGTTGCCGTGAGGCTGGTGGCATTGCCAGGCTGCGCTTCGGGCAGGTGCCCGGCAGCATCGCTCTCGTTTCAGCCCGGTTACTCTGGGTGCCGGGCGACAGGGCCCTTCGCTGGTCCCTGCTGGTGGCTGGAGGCTCCGGTTCGGCGCGAGCTCTCCGTTCCTGCGCGCGCCAGCCTCCGTAGTTTGATCCTGGTGCTGCTCTTTGTAGAAAGCACACGTGCCCCACTGCGATGAGGACACACCGTGTGCGCTGTTTGGAGAGAACCGAGAGACAGAGGCTCGGTGGCGGTTAGCGAAGGGACGGGTTGGTTTGTTTGTCACTGAAGTTTAATCTCCCGGTTGCACGCGTGGGAGGCTGGAGCGGGCACAGCGGGAGGTCACAGGCAGCACACGAAGGGTCCTGCCTTTTGCGGCAGAGAGATGCTCCCTGTTCTCAGGGACCAGCCCCACCTCCACCGTCCCTGCGGAGAGCGTGGAGCCGTTCGGCGGGCGCGCACGTTGGTGGGGAGCTGCTCTGCTCTTTCTTGGGCACCTCTGAGTTGTGCGGAAGGGCTCCAGACGTTGCAGGAGTCGGTCAGGCTCCTTCTCCTGCAGGCTGCCCATCCCCTGGGCCAAGGTCTGCCCATTGCCTGACGCTGCGTTTAGCAACAGGCAGGTGTTAAGATAAAAGTGAAAAATGAGCATATTTACGAGTAATTAACTGTTATCATTTCAGTCAGTAAGAGTGGAGTGGATAAGAGAGAGCCGTGCTTTCAGGCACCAGTGTTTCAGATAAACTCAGATAGATTCTCTCTCCACTTCAAGTTAAAACCGGCCAAGGTGGTTTCACCAGTCTTGTAGCTGGTCCCTCACCTTTTAGGACGACCCTTGTCCTCGGCCCTGCCCTCACCAGGGGGATTTCTGCCCGGCTGTGTGCTCATTACCTCCGCAGGGGTCTGTGCAGGGTCCCGCCTGCTCTGCCAGGGCTGAACGCAGTTCATAAATTCAGTGCTTAATCAAGACATCAGGTTCCAAGCCTGCTCCCAGGGGATTACTGGTTGCCTTTGTTCAACTCCGACAACTCCCTGAGCAGAACTATCCTGCGTAGACAGTAAATAACACTCAGCAATGATTAGTCTCGCGCTTAACTATAAACAGGTGCTTCTCCAGGTAAAGAGAGAGGTTTAATTTTGCCCATGTGTTCATACTTAAACGTCAGTGAGGAGCTTCTTTCTAACACGAAGACTATTTTACAAAATTCGCTCTCACAGTAGGAATGGGTAGTGAAAGATTTGAGTAAGGGAACATAATGACACGGGAACACAATTCAAAGAAAGGGCTTTACAGACCAGATGGGCATCAAATTAAACCGATCGGTGGAGTTTCAAAAGAAAAAAGGAGGTAATTCTGCCCACGGTGCTGGCAAGCCGCAGAGCTCCCCGCTGCAGGATGTTGGGAGCGCGAGGGGTTTGCATGAGTTCAAGGGGCACTGCCAGGCGCCTGGCATTAGAGCGCCGGCCAGGGGTGAGACACGGAGGCGGCCTGGCTCGGCCAGCTCCCGATGATCAGCGCGTTGCTGGAGGCTGACGGCGGCTCCGAGGGGCGAAGCAGCCCCACGCCTGCTGTGTGACGGGCTGCCAGGCCCCGCACCGGGCGGGGTGTGCCCGGGACCCGCGAGGCTGGGGGAGGGATGGAGCAGTATCGAGGCGCCGAGGGTGCAGGGCGTGAGCAGGGTGCACGGGGAGGAGGAGAGGCGATGAGTAACGGGACGGAGTTGTTTGTGCAGGACTCGGATGGCAAGCACGCAGATGCAGGGGAGCTGTGTCAGAATGGTGAGTTGCAGGTAGTGAAGAAAGAGCCTGCCAAGAATTCGCTTTCCTCCCACCTCTCCCATCAGTGATCTCTCCTGCGTGTTGATTTTCTTGCTGAGCAGCAATGGGAGACGTTGGTTTTCACAGGGAACAGATGTTATTGCCACTGTTCCGAGGAGCGGGGCTGTAGCGACGGTCAGCTCGGGGACCAGCCCTGTAAGGAAGCCACTCTTCCTCTGTTGTAGATCAAAGGACAGTTCAGGTTGGAAGGAGGAGGCCTCTAGTCCAACCTCCATCTCAAAGCAGGGTCAACTGTGACATCAGATCACGTTGCTCAGGGTTTTATCCAGTCCGGTCTTGAAAACCTCCAAGGGTGGGGACTGCACACCCTTCCTGGGCAGCCTGTTCCACTGCTTGACTGTCCTCACCGTAAAATTGCTCCTTTTATCCAGTCAGAACCTCTAATTTCAGTTTTGCCCGTTGCCTCTTGTCCCGCCACCGTGGTCTCTCGTCCTCCCACCACGCACCACTGTGAAAAGCCTGGCTTTATCTTCTCGATAACCTCCCATGGGTACCAGCAGGCTGCAGTTAGGTGTCGTCCCCCCCCGAACCATTCCTCCTGCAGGCTGAGCAAGCCCCGCTCCCTCAGCCTCTCCGGACAGAGGAAGAGCTCCAGCCCTCACCGTCTTGGTGGCTCTCCACTCGGTTGATGCGTTTCTTGTACTGGGAGCCCCAGCCCCGCAGGCAGTACTGCAGGTGTGGTCTCGTGAGTGGGAGTGGGAAGGGTAACCCCTTCGCTCTGCCCGCTGCCTTTGCTCCTGGTCACGCAGCCCGGGATGCCGTTGGCCCTTGCTGCCGAGGCACAGGGCCAGCCCATGGGCGCCCCGGGGCCCGCCAAGCCCCGCGATGCTTCCCGCAGAGACGCTTCCCAGCCAGGCAGCCCCCAGCCTGCCCGCCTGCCGGGGGCTCTTCCTCCCCAGGTGGGGGACTTTGCGTCTGTCCTTGTTGGGGTTCATGGAGTTCCTGCTGGCCCCTTCCTGCCGAGCTCCTGCGGGGATGCCTAGATGGTCATCGAGCTTGGTGGCGCTTCGGATGCCATGTTCCATCACGTTCCCCTCCACATTTAAGAAAAAAAGGGAGGAGAGATGCTTAGAGCAGAGAAAAACAACCAAGTGGGGAATAGAGAGAATAAAATGAATAATTGTAGAAGCAGTGTAAAATAAACCAAGAGCTACCACCCACACCTTGAATACTTCTAGGTCATCTAACTGTCCCCTTCACCCTTCTTTCATTTGAAATACTTTGCTCTGAGCACTTTAAAAGATCTTCGCAGCAGGGGCTGTGAGCTCACCGGTAGGACAGGGGCTACAACTTGGTCGGCAGCCGGTGACTTTTGGTAGTCAGTGTCTCCTCTGGCCTGGCAGCCGCTTGGCCAGTCTGCTCTTTGCAGATCAGGAAATTCGAGAAAGATGAGGGACCAGCTTTCTAATTTTATTTCCTGCAGTAGCTCTGTACTCAGCACAGCAGTACCCATCGACAGGACGCTCAGCGCAGCCCCAAGACAAGCTCTGATGACCCCAGACCGTGTTCTCTAACAGCCTGGGCATGGTAACAGAGCTCAGTGCTGCATGAATTTCCTTGTTTCAACTCTTGGCCCTTCCCAGGTGAGAAGTAGAAATAAGCATAAAGGCATGGCTGGTTTGGGGGATCTTCACGCTGTTAAGAACATGACAGTGTCTATACTGAATCAAACCACGGCTCCATCTAGTGCGGGATCGTGTCTTAAGCATTGCTCTTCAGCAGATGCCCAGGGAGGAGTGAAAACAGGGCGAGCATATGATATTTCTCCTGAATACTCACCCAGGAAGCCACTGTCTTCAGTTCAGAGGTTTCTGTGCACAAAATAGCCCACAAAAAGTGCATCCGCCTTGGCTTTGTCCAGTCTCTCTTTGAACTTGTTTTGCGCATCCAGTTCATTATGCTACCTCGGTCTGAAAAACCTCCAAACTATGTTCAGCAAAAATAGCCTGGCTTTGAACACAGTGAGAGTCTGAACAATGGGATGAGATGTCAAGTTCAGTGCTCGCTGGCCAAAATACTCCCTTTTTCCCCCAGCAGACTCTGCATCTGCAGGCATTTGGTGAAATTGCTAATGTAATGCCAGGCACAGTTGCCAAAGCACTTTGAATGCTGCTGGACATTACAGAAAAAGCAGGTGGCCACCGTGCTGCTGCGCCAAGCCGTGGCTTTCTGCCATCTTGAGCATTGTCTCAAGAGCAATTTGAAACCCTGAAAACGGCTGAACTGTGACTGAAAAGAAGGAGGTATGGCGAGCAAGTGCTGAGCATCACAAAGCAGGACTGGCTGAAGAGGGGGCAGGCTGATGCAGGGGGCTGGAGCAAGCCAGGCTGGTTAACTTGCGTCCGTGCAAGTGCTTGCACTGTACTTGCTGTATTAGCGGATTTTTCCTCCTCTTACTTTACTTTGCAAGGTTCTGGTGCTCTTTCACTGAGTATTGCAAGCACCTTGAAAAAGCTGTCGCTGTGCGTCCAGGGAGTAAGTTAATGGTACGAGTGCCCTCCTTGGGTCCTTCCAGTTCTTGAAAGGCGTAAGTTAGGTTTCTGCTAGACCCTGCTTCTGAATTCAGTCTAGCGCGTGGAAGCACACGTAACCCCTGGGGGAGGTTAGACGGCACTGTCTGCCGTGAGCGGCACAACCTGGCGGCACTCGGCTGCCTCGCACCTTGGCAGTTGGGCGTCGGGAGCCTCGATCGAGCGACTGTTGGGTTCCGTCACTGCCGGGGTGGTCTGGGGAGTGTTCAGCCTGCTTGGGCAGCGTCGGGCACAGCCGTCTGGTGGATTGAACACAACGTAAGTCGTTGTGAGAGGCTGCGGCCGCCCTTCTGCGCCAGGCCAGCGTGAGCAGAGGGCCGGACTGCAGGCGCGCGCACCGGGCAAGTGAAGGGTGGAGCGGAAGGCCAACTCAGCAAGCAAGAAGCAGGCCGGGTGGGGGGAGGAAAGGGGTGTCATATCTCCGATTTGCGGCGACTGTCGTGTGCTGGACTCTCTCGAGACGTCCCCTCTGACTTCGCTGTTCTTCTTGTTTTCCAGGTGAAGACGAGAAACTTGCTGCTTCTTTGCTAGATGGGAAGTTTCCCCGGAGCACGTCAATGCAAGACACCGTTAGGGAAGGACACGGGATTCCACCACCACCTCAGACAGCCCCACCCCCACCTCCTTCTCCATATTACTTCGACACAGGCCCCCCTCCATCCTTCTCACCACCTCCACCCCCAGGAAGAGCTTATGATACCATAAGGTCAAGCTTTAAGCCAAGCCTGGAGGCCAAACTCCATGGGCTCCCGCAGGTCATTAGCGCGGCTGAGATGTATGATCAGGCGAGGACTTCCATTCCTTACCCTGAAAGGCAGAAGAGGGCCCGATCCATGATAATCCTACAGGATTCCTCTCATCTTCCCGTGGAGCCGACAGAGATCCCCCGGCCTGGGCCATCGGCAACCCCTCCGGAGAAGCTGAAGAGGAAGGGGAGAGTGATTGACAACCCTTACGCCAACATGGGTCAGTTCAACGTCAGCCTGTTTGCTCCCACCAAGCCGCAGAGGAAGAAGAGCCCTCTTGTTAAGCAGTTACAAGTGGAGGATGCACAGGAGAGAGCGGCGCTGGCCATCACCGGAGGCTTTACACGGGAGCCCTCTCCCACCCGCAGGAGCCACCGCCTGAGTGGAGTGGAGTATCAGCACCACGCCGGCATTGCTCAGGTTGAGGCCACAAGCATCCCCTTTGCCACTGCCATCGCCGGAGTCATGAAGGACAGAGACCGTCGTCTGGATGAGAGGCGGAAATCCACTGTCTTCCTCTCGGTCGGGGCCATTGAAGGAAGCCCCCCCAGCAGCGACATGCCATCCTTGCAGCAGTCCAGGTCTATTGATGAGCGGTTGTTAGGAAGCCGAGATGTACTACTGCCTTCCCCTGTCTCAGCTTTAAAGCCATTGATTAGCAGCTCATCCTCAACGTTCATCCACCCCCTGACAGGAAAGCCCTTGGATCCGAACTCACCACTGGCGCTTGCGCTGGCCGCAAGGGAACGGGCCCTCTCAACTCAAGTCCCATCCCGGTCGCCCACCCCGATCCACAGCCCAGACTCAGACAGAGCAGCACCCCTGTTTGTGGACATCCAAACCAAAGAACCAGAGAGGGGGGAGTTGGAGAGCTTGGTGTCCCCTGCGTACTCACCCGGAGGCAAAGGGGCCGTCGGAACAGACTCTGGGACTTTGGCCCCTACGAAGAGCCAGTGGGGGACTCCGTCCACACTGAGAAAAGAAACTGAGGCAAGAGCAGAAACACCCGGGAAGGAGGAGAAAAAACAAGAAGACAAGAAGTCCATGATTATCAGCATAGTGGATACGTCACAGCAGAAGACCGCTGGGCTCATCATGGTTCATGCCACAAGTAATGGCCAAGACGAGATAGGACTTGAGATAAAAGAGGAGAAGCCAGCTGTCCCTGAAGCATGCACAGAGCCAGCAGAGTCCCCCAAAGCAGAGACCCAGCCCAGTCCCGTGGGAAAGCCTCCGGTCAGTCCAGCCTCTGAGAAGACGCTGGGACAGGGGAGTTCGGAGGAAGAAGTGGAGCCCTACACGGTCACCCTCCCACCAGCTCAGTTGTCTTCAAGTGACGAAGAGACCAGGGAGGAGCTGGCCAAGATAGGGCTGGTGCCTCCACCAGATGAGTTTGCAAACGGGGTACTGGTCACCACCCCTGGCACACCGGTCAGCCACCTGGCTACGCCTAGCACGCCATCCATACCAGCGGCAGCAGTAGCACCTTCTACCACTGGCGGAACACCCTCAGGGAAGCCCTCTGATGCCCCCGTAGCCCCAGAGTCTGCTGCAGACTCGGGAGTGGAAGAGGTGGACACCAGAAGTTCAAGTGACCATCACCTGGAGACCACAAGCACCATCTCGACGGTCTCCAGCATGTCTACGTTGTCCTCAGAGAGCGGGGAGCCTACTGACACATACACTTCCTTTGCGGATGGACAAACTTTTATACTCGAGAAGCCACCAGTGCCTCCAAAGCCAAAACTCAAGTCCCAGCTCAGCAAGGGGCCAGTTACTTTCAGGGACCCACTTTTGAAGCAGTCTTCGGACAGCGAGCTCATCTCCCAGCAACATGCGGCCACTCTGGCATCAGCCAGCATTGGCCGGCCACGCTACCTCTTTCAGAGAAGGTCCAAGCTATGGGGGGACCCCATGGAGAGCAGGCCGATCCATGGGGCTGATGATGACAAGCCAACTGTGATCAGTGAGCTAAGTTCCCGACTACAGCAGCTGAATAAGGATACACGATCACTGGGGGAGGAACCAGCCGGGTCCACCTTAGACCCCGGGAAGAAGTCACCTGTGGTCGCGGCACGGTAAGACGCTGGGCGCGGGCCGGGGGCACCCCGGGGACGGCGGGGGGTGCATAAGCAGAGCGTAACTTTGCCGAGAAATCCTGGGTGTGCTTTGAGGGGCGTTTCAGAGGTGTCGGGTCTTCTCAGCTGCCCGGGGAGAGACAAGGCTGAGACATGCTTTCCAGGAGTTGGTGTGATTTGTTCATGGCCCCTCTCCACGCACCGCACACGTAGCGAGCTCGCACTGTTGCTTTTTCCCTTTAAATTGCCTTCCTGTTGTTTGATGTTCCTGCTCTGTCTCGATGCTATTGTTAAGCCGCTGTATTTAGTTGTGGGCTTCACTTCTAAATGTTTGCTCCTGAACGATTAATAACAATGTGTGTTTCTCTAGTGCTTTTCATTTCAAAGGATCTCCAAATGTTGTCAGACTGTGTGTTAGAGCTCTGGTCAGGCCCTGCTGAGCGGGAGCCGTCACGAGGGTGCTCTGTGACGGCCCGCAGAGAGGACACGGCAGCACCACCCCGGCCTTTGCTCGCTGGGGCAGAGCCAGGCGCCGTTTCTGGAACGAGCCAGCTCTGGCGACCGGCGGGGCGGTGTTTTGGCAGGGCACGGCTCGGGGGGGTCACGCGTGGCTGTGGCAGGGGGTGCAGCCGGGCATCCCTCCCGTGGGTGCTCGCCGCGGGCCGGTGGGGTGGCTGCGGGCTCAGAGGGATCGACGCAGCGCCTGAGCGTGGCAGAGCCTCTCAGCCCTCGTCCGCCTCCCGCACAGAGCTGCGCGGAGCCCGGCCAGCCCGGCAGATCCGGAGGGTCGGGGCGGAGGGGCCGCGGGACACGCAGGAGCCTCTTTCTCTCCCAAGGCCCTGCTGGGGTTCCCGCGTCCCTCGCGGCTCTCGGGAGGCGGCGGTTCCCCGTCCCACGCTGGAGCTGTGACCGCCACGCTCCCCCAGCAGCACGGACCGCTCTGGCCCTGGCGCTGCCCCCTGCCGCTCTCCTGCCCGGCGTGTCCTCTGTGCCGGGACACCCCCCGACCTGCCGGCACCCGGCGTTTGTCCTCACCTGCTGCCCCGCGGCAGCAGCGGCCCCTTTGCCCCACGCTTTCACCGCAGCACCCCCGCCTAACTGCAACACTAAACCAAACCAAAAAACCCTGAATTAGAGCCCAAGATTTGAGAGCGAACCATTACGAGGCTTTGCAGTTTGAAGTTACAGCAGGAAGCGACCCAAAATCTCCAGTCTCGCGCTGCCCTTTCGGGATGCAGCCACACCACCCCTCCCACAGTCGCAGAGCCACAGCAAGCAGGTCCCACCGGCGTCACCGGTGGGTGGTCGCTGGGGGCCAGCGAGGTGACGGTTCGGCAGGGAGCTCGGAGCTAAGGGGAGCCCTTCTTTTGGAAAGGTGTTTCTAACCAGGTCGCGGTGGTGATGGGCTCCAAGTCCACGGGGTGCTAGCACAGCTGGTGACGTTTCAAGCTGTAGCGTCGGGGACAAAGTGTCCCACCCTGCCACAGCCCCAGGGCCGTGGCCACTTCCCTCCTTCAGCTGGCTGACGACTCCCTGCCCGTGCCTGTGTTGGCCGTGCCAGCCGGGCCGCACTGGTCATCCACCTCTCGGTAGGTACCAAACTCGGAGCTACAGCCGCAGCATGGAACGCAGATCTCTGGATCTTGCCCTGCTACCTTCCCCCATCTCTCCGGATTCTGCCCCAAACGCACGCCGCAGCCCTTCCCCGGAGACTGGCCGTCCCTCCTCCCGGCACTGCTCGGTTGGGAGCCACGGGGTCCTGTGCTGAATGCACTTGGTTTCACTGCGTTTGGGGACCCTTCCGAAAGCGGGCACGCCGCGCCTCAGATTCCTAAAAAGCGCTGCCTGGGCGTCACTTCAGTGGCACTAGAGAGCTTGGACGTTACCGGCTTTTAAAGGCGACCAGGCATGGCACCTCAGACTGCCCGTGCCAGGCCCTGGCCCTTCGCTGAGCCCTGCCCTGGGGCCCGGGGTGGGCGGAGGGGCTCTGGCTCGGCTGCCTTCCCCCCCTTCGGCCTCCCGGAGCACCCATGACTGCCCGTGGTGGTGGAGCTCAGCCCCGACCTCTGCTCTCCCCGTGCCCGGCCGGATCACCCTGCACGGCTGATGTGCTCTGCCTCACGCAGCCTCCCGGCAGAGACAGAGACGGGCAAGCACCCCAGTGTCTAGGGAACAGCCCTTGTCCCTCCTCTGCCTCTCTTTAACCCTTCCTGTCCTTCTCGCCTCCAGGACTACCACTGCTGCCCCTTGATCCCTCTCCTCCCGCCTCTCCCCGGAGCAGCAGACCCAGCCTAAGCTCCCGCCCCGTGCCGTGGCACTGCTGCGTGTCACCTTCCGCAGAGACCCTGTCCTCCCGCAGGCCGTCCTCCTCTCCGTGCCCACCCTGCCACCGAGCGTTTGGCCCTTCCAACTGTCCTGCAGAGTTAAATGTTCTCATTCCTTTTTCTGAAAGCCATGGCCTTTCATCTCTGAAATTTTTCTGCTCCCGGTTGATGTCAAAGACTGGAAATGTTTCCCGGGAAGTCAGCTGTAAATAGAATATTTAATGATGTCAGCCACTCTCCGCTGTGAAACAGTCCTCTCTTTTATGAAATTGCTGTAAATTCAGAAAATAACGTAAAGAGCAGTTAGATAAGCTTAGACGGCCCGTTTCAGGACACGTTTCTCAGTCCCTGGGCCTGTTCTGGGAGCAGCAGCGTTACCTCGGCCTCCCCCAGCAGCCGCCCCCGAGCACGGCCGTGCTGCTGGGGAGGCGAGCTGGGACCCGGCGGGCGGGCGGCCCTCGCGCACCCGCCCAGGGGCTGAAGGGGGCTGCACCCCCTTGGCCAGGCTTCGTGAAAGCCCGGGCGATGCTGCGCCCGGAGCCTGCTGGAGCCCCCTCCACGGGGCGCTTGGAGCGCTGAAGGGCAGTGGCCTGACTGGTGCTGCGGCTTTTCCTGCCCCCCTTGCCTTCGGCTCTGCTCCAGAAAGGGTCGTGGGCCGAGCCGCAGCTCTTCCCTCGAGCCAGGGGTGTGCTGGAGTCCCCCGGGGCGCGGGGACGAGGGGGTGCCCTCGCAGGAGCTGCCGGGGCCCCTCCTGGGGCTGCAGGAGCTGGGGAAGCAGGCGGAGCCGCTTGCCCGCGGCGGCGGGTGTCGTCGCTGGCGTTTCCTCCAAGGCCCATTGAATTCTGAATTTACAGTAGTTCCATCTAAGAGCAGGTGATGTCTCTTTGCATGCGGTGGCTGTAGCGCAGGCCCTGGCGCGTTTCTCTTGCAGAGGTCTGTGAGGGCCCTGCCCGGGGACCCCCAGCAACAGAAGACAAACCGCTTTCTCCATAACTCCAGCTCTGGCCGTATCTCCTTCCGAGACGGTCTTCCACGGGAGGACGTTTGACAAGAGGGACTGAGAAAGAGGCCAAGAAATACTGAGCGTGAGAACGCGAGGTCAGAGTTAAGGCGATCGGTAGAGACGGTGTCTGCTCCACCCTCCCCGCTCCTGGGCCCGTGCTGGGCTCTGCCCGTGCGCGGCGCGCTGGCGGAGGGCGGCTCCGCTCCCGCGGCAGCAGGGTGCCCGCCTGCCGAGATGCGGCCCTCGCCGGGACGCCGTGGCTCGGCGGTGGCAGCGACAGCAGAGCGGAGCGACAGCTCCCACTCGTACGGTCCCACGGGAATAAGCGATGGCCCTCGAGTGGGGGACACGCCGATCTGCTCGGCGGGCAGCTACCCTGGCCGTTGCGCTGCCGTAGCGTGCCCCCGAAGGCGGACGCCGGGCCGGCAGCAGCTGCCTTCACGGTTAAGGGGAGCAGGCCCGTGAAGAGCCGGTGTCCCCACGCGCCGTAGCCTTTGCCCAGCTGAGCTGCGGGGGAGCGGCCGCGCGTCTTGGCGTCGCTCCGACTGGAACTTCCCGGCCTCCCCCGGACAGAGCTCGTGCCGCAGCAGACGCCGAGCGGCCGCTCCCCCGCGCAGGAGCAGAGCGAGGACCCCGCAGCTCCGAGCTGCTGCCGAACGCTGAAATGGATTCATTGTGTGACATCCATTGCCGCAATAAAGCTGACGCTAACTAATGAGAGGTGTACGTTTCTGATTAGCGACCCAGCGAGTCACAGCTAGCGACGCCGGAGAGCTGCGGTGGTACCAGGGGCTGAACTCCCGCGCCTCAGGGTCACTCACGCCTTAAACGTGCAGCGTTAAACCCTGTGTCGAGCTGGCGTTCCTGTTCGGTGTCCCCCCGCCCTGCGACTGGCCGCGGCCACCCGGCCTCATCAGGCTCGTGTCATTCCTGGCTGCGCACCCCCCGCTCAGCACCGGCTCTCCGGGCTCCGGGCTGTGCGGTGCCGGCCCTCGGGGCGGGACGGCACGCTGCCCCCGGCCAGAAGCAGCTGAAAGTGTCCACACGGTTCCAGTTCGGGGCTCCGGCAGCCACGAGCCCGGGGTAGAGGGTGCTTTGCAAAGGGTCCTTGTTTGTTTGTTTGTTTGCTTGTTTGTTTACCTTTAAGCAACAGCCGAATGTGCCAAATGTATCGTGTGAAGCAGAATTTTAGATGCAAAACTGAGTTTTTCAGGTGCTGTTCTGGAAACCCACAACTGCTTTGTATTTCTACAGATCTGAAAGAGAGAGAGAAGAAAAATAAGCCCTTTAGGCATTTAGCTCCTAGGGTAAAGCTACCTCTTTCTATATAAACTCATCAATTAATTCTGTTTCAGTTAAATGGTGTAACATTTCTGGTGCAAGCTTTCAGCCGCTGCAGATACAACCCCCTGTTTCCTTGTAGGCTTTTTGTCTCTTCACGGTGTCTAAACTCACGCCCAAAGCAGAGCTGAGCTTTCTTTCCACAGTCAGGGGAATTGTCCGTGGAGGGCTGATGAAAAGCTGGGGATTGGCATTGATGAGGCCAGCTGAGATCTGCGCTTCTCGGCGCCTTCCCGAGAGGGAGCTGGGGCCACGCGGGGGGTTACTGGTACTGCAGGGGGGTTTGGAGGGGAGGTGGCCAGCGCCCCAACGCCCGCCAGCCCCCCGGCTGCCCCCGGCACCCCACCTTTCCTCGCAGCCGCCGGAGAGCGAGGCAAACCTGCAGCCCCGTGACGGAGGCTTGGCAGGGCTCCATCCTGCTTCCCTGCGGCAGCTGGGCTTAAAGACGCAAACAAATCCACCCTTGGCTCCAGGGCTGCCCTTCCCGCGGGAGCCGGGGTGCGGCAGCGGGGCCGGCGGCACGGCGGCGGGGGGTCCCGGGGGGCTGGCGCCCGGGGCGGTGTGCCGGAGGATGCTCTTCCCTCCTGGTTGCCGTGGCATTTTCCCAGCGCTCACCGCAGGACGTCAGGCTGAGGACGGGGCACAACTCGGCCCCGTCCACCTCCGCGGCTTTTCCACGGAGACAGCCGGCCAGGGAGCGGGGAAAGCGCAGGCTGTTAGAGGGAGGCGGGGGGAGGCTGGGTGTTTGGAAAAGCAGGAGTTTCTAGGGGCTGCTGTGAAAGTGCAGTAGTCGAGGGAGCCCCCAGCGCAGGGAGCCGCTCCCCTCGCTCCGAGGTGCCGCCCCGACCCGACCCCAGCTCAGCGCCGCCTGGCACTGGTGCCCGGGGAGGCTCAGGTTTTGACGTGGCCGCGCATCGCCTACAAGGAGACAGGGGCACCGTGGGTCGCAGGTCTCCGCATGTGTCCATGTCACGGCAAGCACAGCTGGCTTCACCCCATCTGGTCACTAACATCTACTGGTCACAGCTCATCCGCTCATCCCTCCTGTGAGTAGAAGAGCAAACCGTGACTCTGCCTCATGCTTGTCCAGAGCGAGACGGGAAGAGCAGCGCGCGGCTGTCTGGGCCCCGGTGAGAAGAGCTCTGGGTCCCACCAAGACTGTGTCAGTGCCAAAGCGGCCCAAAAGAGGGGAGCGATAAAGCCTGAAGGGTTCACTCGTTGCTGAGGCTGGCTCCAGGAAGGTCCCTCGGTGCAGTTGTTTTATCACCCGAGCGCAGGGGAGGAGTGGTAAGGGCTGTTCCTTTCAGGGCTTTGGCAGGCTGGAAGGGGACGTCACAGAAAAGGGGCTTTTCCTCTCACGCAGAGAAGTATGAAGGCACCCATTCAGATTTCAGCTCTCTTGTCCACACGCAGGAGGCAAAGCAACCGCGTGGCCAGCGGCCTGCGTGCTAGCGTGGTGCAGTTCTGCAGGCAATCTGCCACGATTCCACACCCCTCCAGTGGGAGCTTAGGAGGAGATGGGCTGGGAGCATCCTAGGGGCAACACGAGGAGACTGGAGGTCTCCTACGGATACGAGTCTGAAATTTCCTTTTCCTACAAAGAAGAGATCAGAGGAGGACAAAACAGGCTTGCTGCAATGCGTTTAGTGAAGGCACAAGCAACTCTTAATGGCCGTAATGCTCTGGCCCTGCCTGAAACTCGCTGTTGTAAACGTGTACCGACACCCGGGTTTGCTCCCAGTCCTCCCCGTTCCGCGCTGGAGCACAGGCAGGTGAGAGCCCCTGGCTGAAAGACTCGCAGTCCAGTTACAGCACCATCTGCCAAACTGCCCGAGAAAACCCGTAGCGGGAGGCCGGGACCCTCTTGTATGGAGAAGCAAGAGAGGGAGAGCATTCAAAACGTGGCCAGAAGTCCTCTTGCTCCTCTCCATCTCTCCTGCGGCGTAGCAGGCTGGTGACCGGGGCGCAGGGGGATACCCAGGGGGTAGCCACGGTGCCCCCCGGCCAGCCCGCGTGCCTCCTGCGCGGCGCTGGGCTGGGTCCTCCGGCCGGAACGGCGCAGGCTCCGACTCGCCCTTGCCGGTGGCGACCCGCAGCAGCTGCCCAAGGGGGGCTTGCCAGCTCGGGGCCCCGGTCCGGCCCGGCGGGCCCTGCCGGGAGCGGCACAGCTGCCTGACCCGGGCGGCCCTGCTCGCTGCGCGGCTCCTGGCCATTTCTTCCCGTGCCCAGCCGCTTCTCCGGCAGGAAAGGGGTAAAACGCTGAACGAAAGCGGTGACCTTGTGGCGTTGGTAGCCACCGCGCCAAAACGAGCCGTTGCTGGGAGCCCCTGGCACAGCGAGGGCAGTGGAGATGGGGCAGACGAGAGGTCTCTGCGCAGAGGAGGCGGCCGCCTCGCCTGGCTGGGACGAGGGCCCTCGCTCCCTCCTGGCGGCCGCAGTCGAGGGATCTTTGCGATGCACGAGAAGAAGGTTTAGAAAGCTCAGGAGAGCAGCCCAGCACCCAGGCAGAGGGTGCAAGGTCTCTCTTGCTCCGGCGAGGACGTGCGACACGTCCCGCCGGCTCGCCGGAGAGCAGAGGTTGGATTTTCCCCTGCCAGCCCAGGGCCAGGCCTTTGGCACAGCACAGACCTCAGCAAGGGACTCGGGCGATCTCCCGTGGCAGGGGAGCTGTGATTATCCCCGCTGGGAAACACTAACTCACGTGCAAGGCCCGAATAATATTCCATTGACCTTTACCTGGAGCTGTTCTCACACTCGTGAAAGCAAAACACGTAACGCAGAGCTATTGGGTGAAGTCAGAAAAGATGTTGAACTGTATTTGCCGCTCTTTCTTGTTCTTGCTGTGGGGCATTTTTTTCTCATGCATATGTTGTTTCCTTCCCCTCCCTCTTCTGCCCTTCCCCACTCCCTGTCCTGCCCCTTCCCTGCCTCCTCCCGCCCTCCTCCCTCTCCTCCCAGCTCTCACCAACAGCCCTGTCAAACCCTTCAGGCTTTGGCTGCCGAGTCCGTGCAATTACCAATGTCCCAGATCCTGTAACAAACACACGGACGTCACCTCAGCCAGTGTGGGACGTCCCAGCCTTCACCGGCCCCGTGCCGGCCATTTCCTGGGCCCCCCTCGCTGCCCCCCCGGGGTCGCCCCTTCCCCACAGCCGCCCGGGGCTCCGCCGCCCCCCCCGAGACGGCGAAGCCTTTCTGCCCGGTGCTGCGGGGCCGGCCCCGGTGCCGGGCTGTGCCGTGCCCGCCGGAGCCCCGGGAGGTGGCCGCGCTCCCGCGGGGCCGCCTGACGAAGTCCCTTCGCTCTTCTCCGTCTCGTTGCCGCCCCGGACCGGAGCTAACATTCTCTCTCATTGCCTCTCTTCCTGCTCCCCATCTGCATGTCCGCGCTGCTCTGTCTAGAACCGCCTCTGGCCTCCGGAGGGTGGGCGAGTTGTGTAAGTGAGCATGTTCCCATCCCATAGCGAACTCACCTCGGCCCCCCGCGCCCCTGCCGGCCCCGCTCCCCGCTCTCCCGCCGTCGCGGCTGGCCGAGAGCGGGCGGCGGCGCTGGGGCTGGCGTGTGTGTCCCCAACCCCTTGCCGCCCCGCTGTGCCCCGGTAGCATGTCCGTGTCCCTGTGCTGTGATGTCGTGTGCTGCTCTCGTAGGTGACGACTGAGGAAATTCCCTCGGGCTTCCACGGGATTCCTACCGTGGTGTGTGTCCCCCCCTCCCCGCCCCGTCACGGCTGCCCCGGGGACACCCAGCAAGGGCCGTGCAGAGACACGGCCCCCTTGGCGCATCTCGTCCCCATGGGGAGGGGGCCCCAGCACGGGTGGGGAGGGACCCTGGCGGTGGGGCGACCGAGCTGGCTGCCGCTCCAGGAGCCAACGTCCCTTTTCCGAGCCCCAGCAGCTCCCCCCACGCAACCGATGCACAAGACCCCCCCCCCTTCCCACAGGCTCATGGCTTCCCAGTCGCGGCGTCCCTCGGTCACCCTCTGGAGCAAAAAATCCATGAGGCAGTGAGTCACGCTCCTGCTACCCTGAGCTCACACAGCCGTCCCAGGCTGGGGGTCAGCGCCCAGCGGGGAGGGGGGGCCCGGGGGAGACCAGCAGGGCAGGGCTGCAGGCACCCCAGAGCCGCAGGAGCTCCAGCCCGGTGACACAGTGGGCGACTGTGGTGTCCCCAGGGAAGCCACTGGTGGCACAACCTTAAACCACGGGCAAGTGAGACAGCTGTAGGGAAATCAGGGTACCGAGACCTGACCCCCACCCCTTCTCCCAAACTGGCTAACGGCTGCTGCTGGAGGAGTCCTTGCAGGCAGGGCTCCTTGGCCCCTGGCCCCAGCAGGGCTCCTTGGCCCCTGGCCCCAGCAGGTCTCGGTTGCTACCAGAGCTGCTGGGCTCCCCTCCCAGGCCCGTGGCTGATGAGCTGTGTGCGTTCACCGGGCTGGACCAGGCAGACCCTGCGAGGCCATTCCAGTCTGCGCGAGGTCCCTTGGGCTGAGAGGCGGGAGCCTTCCCCCGGGAGGTGACCCTCCAGCCTGGGTGGGCTCTGGAGGGTTTGGGCTGTGGCACGTGCCCCTGGGCTGGGTGCCCACCAGGCGAATTTCCCCAGTGTGCATGGCCAGCTGTGTGGTCTTGGTTGTGCTTCTTCCGTGTTTGTCTGTCCGTCCTGTTTTTTTTTTTTACCCGTAGCTTGTATGAAACTAGCTACCCACATCTGTGTCGCTTCCACGTGTGAACGCAACCCCGGAGCCCACGCAGAGCTCTGGGCAGTCTCATGTTTGACTTGACTTGTCATTTTCTGCCGAGTGCTGAATTTCCAAGTCTGCGTCCCCTTCCCAGTGCCCAGCTGGACAGGGCCAGTCCCGGGAGAGCAGAACGGCAGCGCTAGGACACTCCTCTTGCCCGATGCCCCGCACCGCCGCTGGTGCAGAAGCCTTCCCCGGGGACCTGCTCTGCTCCAGTCCCGGGCTGTAGCACGCGGCTGGGTTAGGCAGAGGTGTGGGACACTCGGAAACCATCTGGCCCACTTGGGTCCTTCTGGTCGTAGAGCCCCTAGGTCTGCCCAAGGCGGAGCGCTGCTCTGGCTAGAGCGGGGTTCGTGCCGCAGGTGCCGCACCGCAGATCTTGCTTCGTTTGCGTGTGGTCGGCGGCGGGAGGGTGCTCGTGTCGCTGCCTCTGCCCGTGTCTTCACGCATTCAGTCCTGTTGCTGGTGTCGCGGAGCGTCTGCGTGGTCGGGGTTGCACCCGGGGGAGACCGGCCGCCCGTCTTGGCACTGCGGGCACGTGGCTCAGCGCCGGGCTCTGTGCTGCCGGGCGCGGGACGGGGCCAAGTCGCTGGGCTCGGTCTGTCTCTGCCCCCAGCCCAGCAGCCCCAGTGGCAGCACCAGCTGGGCAGGAACCGCTCGGGGACGGTGGCTGGCTGCGCTGAAAGGGCGCCGGCTCGTCCCCGGTCCGCTGAGCCAGCGGTTCAGACAATGGCAGTGCCTGCTCCCGTCCAGCACCATCTGACCGGCCGTGACCGTCAGCTGATGTTTCCTCCCCGTTGCACAGCCCTGTTTGCGCGAAAGCTTCGGGCATTGTTTCTCCCGCGCCCAGCATCCCTGCCCCACTGCAGCGTGAGCCGCGGCCGCCCCGTCCAGCCCCGCGTGCAGCCCTGACGAGGGGCCCGCGGCCGCAGACGGGAGCAGGAACGCCTCGGGGCCTTGGCTGGGGCTTTCCTGCGGGCTGCGGCCCCTGCCCGTGCCCGGGGGGCTGCCAGGGGCTGCGTGCCCCCCACGCTCCCCGCGGCCGAGGGAGCCCTTGCTGGGAGCCGAGCTCAGCGTGCAAGGGGGCTGCGGTGGGGATCGGCAGGCTCTGCCTCTGCCCGGGGCCCCGCGCCGGTGCCGGTGTTCCCAGTTGCTGCCTGAAGAAGTCAGGCTGAGGTTAGGGTTAGGCTTAGGGTTACGCTTAGGGTTAGAGTTAGGCTTAGGGTCAGGGTTAGAGTTAGCTGCTGTCCTGGTCCAAAAGGATCAGCGCTGAAGCTGGATGTGCAATCCGTGCTGGTTTTCACAGGTGCCCGCTTAGCTGAGCGCATTTAATATTCTCTTAGCGCAAGTTTCTGCATGTAATTCCCTGGAAGGGAGGGGTGCTGTAAACCCGGGGTGGTTTTGGGGTGCACAAGCAAGGAGGCTCAGTCCTACAAGAGATCTGAGGCACTGCCAGTTGAGACGCACAAGCGCTTGCTGCTGGCTAGAAGCGCGGCGGTAGCTCTGTGTACGTCGTTAGCTGTTCTCTGGCCCCGCAGATGACCCTGTGCCACCACAGCCGCAGCGCCGGCAGGCCGCCTTCCCCCGCTGCTAGCCCGACGAGGGGCCAGGCATTCGCTGCCGACTGTGGTCGCTGGTCCCTGCAACAAAATTTGTCAGCTAAAATGTAAAGCTTCCGAGCGGCTTTCCTCGGTGCGTGGCGGAGCACAGGCTCCGGGACTCGGGCAGCGCTGCCGGCACGGGGCCCGGTGATGGGTGCTCAGCCCCCCACCCCACCCAGCACAGGCACCGGGCAGAAAGCCGAGCCTGTAGCCCAGGCTCAGGTTTTTAGTTGTCCGTGGCATTCCCTTTCCTGGGTCTGAAGGGAAGCAATGGGGCTGAACCCTCGGTGTCCGGCAGCCGCGGTGCCTCTGCCCTGCCCGAGCCTCAGGGGACCATCCCGGCAAGCCCAGGGTTTCCCAAACTCACGCCACGCTCCTCTTGCCCGTAGTGCTGGCGGTGGGCACCGTGCTCCCCCCGCACGCTCCGGTCAGGGCAGGCGGTGACGTCCCCAGGGCTTCGCGGGGCCGGCGCGGTGCCCACCCCCGGGGGCTCGGCTCTCCGAGCTCAGCGCTGGGAATCAGGAGCTGAAAGAACACGACGCAAACGTGCCCTCCCCCAGCTCCTCTGAGACCAGCAAGGAACAAGAAGTAGGACGAGTCCCGAGTCCTTCTTTCCAGGGCACTTTTTGGACTAGGACGTCACTCCTGAGCCCTTAGGTGCTACCAGGGGCCCAGTAAATGTCTGCTGGGCACCCAGTGCCACAGCCCTGCGAGCAGCCGGTGGCTCTCACCACTCCACCCTCTGTGCAGGGCTGCGGAGCTCAGAGGCTCTGCTTCAGCCCAGCCGCCTGTGCCCCTGAGCCAGGAGCTCCGGACAAGGTGGGACAGGCTGTTCTGACACCCAAGACGGGTCCTGCTCGAGTTCGTAGGACAGCGCGGTGAGCTGGGAGGGTCAGTTAGTCTGCTGAGGTCAGAGGAAAATGTTCTCGCAGGGAACTGCAAGAATGACTACTGTTCTGGCTGCAGAAGCTTGATCGGAGGGAACAGGGAAACTACGGAGTGAGGGAGGAAAAAAGGCAGTTTTGAAACAGGAAGGAGACATTATGTTGAGAGGCCGCAGAAGGGAGGACACCTCCAGGGTTTTCACGGCTGGCTGGCTTTTTCCCCAATCCAGCCTCTGTATTTTATTGGGATGAAGTCTTAGACACAGTTTGGAAGAGTGAAGAAAAAACCAAAACCAGCAAAGGTGCAATTTGCTCTCATCTGACCATGACAGGCTGATGTGGGAACTCTCCATAAGAAGGGCACTGCGGTACTGGGGAGGGGACAGGCCGTGGTGAATCTCGTCCTTCCAGCACCGCGCCCGCTCAGTTCTCAGTCTCGGGTCGCACCTTGCTCTGCAGCGAAGCCCGGAGCCTCGGGGTGGCAGCTTCATCCTTCCACCAGCCAGGCACCAGCCAGCGTTCCCCACCTTGTCCTGCCCCCCACCCCCACATCAGCTCAAGGAAGAGTCACAAGTTCTTGGCTCCTTTTCCATCAGTGGCACACTGGCAGGGGTGGGCTCTGTTCCCACGCGGCGGAATTTATATGGAGTGAAGAAGAGAAAAACCGTTATGAGAGGGGAAATGAATAGTAGCAGGAGCAACAGCGTCATCAGTGATACCATCCTCTTGCTTAGATCTTCAGCTTCGTCCTCCCATAGAGAGGCAAAGCAGCGACAATCACCACGGCTCTCTGAAGCGGATTTTCATACTCTGCTTAAAGTGATTCGACAGGAATCCAGGAAATCACTCGTTAAACCTCGCGCCGCTTCCTCCGGCTCCGTCTGAGCTGCCCCTCCCTCGGGTGAGAAGGGCTTCGGGCTCCCACTGTTTGTCTCTTGGGGCATCTCCCAGAAGGGCACCCCGAGCCGAGTGCTGGGCTTTGAAGGCACCCAGCCCTGGAGAGGACGGGTCTCGCCTTGCTTCAGCCGGGCCCACGCCATCTTCCAACCCAACTCGCGTGCCTTATTTCCCTTTCATGTCTGCTTGCCTTTGCCTTCCATGGATTTGTTCCTTTTCCTGTCCCTGCTAGGCCGTGCAGAGCGTTCCGCAGCTGGTGTTTCCTGTGCGTGATGGCGTTCCCCGACCCTCATCTTCCTCTCGACGTGCCAGGCCAGCTGAGCTGGTCCTGCCCGCGCTGCCGGGACCCGTTGCGGTGGGTCACGGCTCTCCTGACCGTAACGGCCGCTTCCAGCCCACCCCAGACAGCCGGCCCGGTGCTGCCCGTGCAGCGCAGCCCGGAGCAGCTCAGGAGTCGCTGCCCCACGCCACGGCACGTAGGAAGTCACGGCTTCAGCGACGGCATACCTTTCTGCGTTCTTTAAAAGTCATTGCCTGCAGCTGTACTGCAAAGCGTTCTCCCACTCGTAGTGCCCGTGCTCGTGGAGCTGCTAGCCCCGTCGCTGCGCTGCCGTCCTGCAGTCCTACGTGTGAGCTGCAAACTTCGCTGGTCCTACAGGATCTGGCATTAGCGTTTATTAAGAACTTGTGTTGTTAAATGAGGGCCTCTTGCTGGGCACCCAAACAGCAGCACGGAGCTGGCCTGATTCACGCCGTCGGTTGCTACGCGTTCAGTTGCTGCTTACGCTGTAGGCATCAGCTTTCCCACCTCTTCGTCATCCCCAGTGTCAAGGAAGATGCTGAATCTGTGCCAGTGCTAGGACTTCTTCCCTTGTCTGCCCTTGGAATAAGCAGGAGGAAGTCGGGTCCCGAGCAGACTGAGGAAATCTAGAAGGACATCACTTCCCCGATGTAGAAGCAAAAATCTCTCCCCTGCTTGTTCTTCTGAAAGAAAGGGGTGGCCCGGTGAGACATGGGTGCGGGAGACACTGGCGCTGAGCGGTCCCCGGTGCAGAGGTGTGTCGGTGCCTTCGGGCAGGGAGCTTTGCCCCGGGCGGGCTTCTCGCTGCCCCGAGAATCTCTGCTCCCGTCTGGGGACTGACCCTCGGTGCGCTGCCAGCGACGCGGGGGGCGCGTCGGGTTCCTGGGCCTTCCCCTGGCCAGGCAGGGAGGTGGCCTGGTCGTGCTTTGCTGTCCTGGCCGGGGCTGGCGGCGGCGTGCTCGGCTCCAGGGAGCCCTCGGTCCACGCTCGGCGCTCTGGGCCGGCGGGTGTGTGTGTGCTCTGGCAGCTGCCCCTCGGGAGCAGCAGCAGAGCCCTCGCCCCCGCCTGCGGGTGGGGAGCCGGGCATCAGAGGCGTAGGAGAGGGGGTATTCATAGTGAGGAATTCTGTCAGAGCCGGGAGAAAGACTTCGGTCTGGACGTGTTTTACAGAGCAAAAAAATACCAGAAATGAAGAGCAGAAGTGGCTTGTCACTCTTCACTGTGCACAAAGTGTAATAGCAGACAGGTGTTTTGTAGGAGGGTCCCATTTCATTTAATAGGTTTATTAATTGCTTATGGGGAATTCATGTTTTTCAGAAAACATGAAGTCTTGGGGGACATCAGATGTAGAGAGGACAGTGAAGAGCTAGAGGGAAACTGGCCAAGCTGAATGAGTGACTTGCGTGGGAGCAGAGAAAGTTCAGTGCTAATAAACGTAGGGATGGGCAGCTGAGGGCACAGTCCCCGTGGGCTGTGACCGTCCGATGCTGGCAGTGACTCCAGCGTGCCGCGGGCAGTGAGGAGGGAAGGCTGCTGCTGAAGTGGTGGGGACTGGCGGGGGAAGTCGGGCGCTGATGGTGCTGCAGGAATAGGCTGCTGTTTGCTCGCTGCGTGTGCACGGGAGAAGGTCGAGGACGCTGGCAGAAAGGTCTGGAGGAGGGTCCTGAGGAAGGCAGGCCCTTGGGCTCAAGCGCTCTCCCGTTGAGCCTCACAGAGGCGTGACCTGGGGTAACGGGCTCCTGCACGTCGTTGCTTTCTCATCGGGGCGTTTGCTGTTGGCTGGTGGCAGGTCTGCGCTGGTCCTCCGCAGTCCTGCAGAGCGGTTGAGGTGGGAAGGGGCCTCTGGAGCTCCCCTGGTCCTCCCCCCTCCCCCCTACTCAAGCGGGGCCCCCCCAGGCAGCGCGCCCAGGACCTTGTCCTGTCGGGTTTTTCACGTCGCCAAGGACGGGTACTCCACCACCCCCCTGGGCAACCTGTGCCAGCGCTCGGTCACCCTCGCAGGGAACAAGGGATTCTGTGTGTTCAGCTGGGATCTCCTGTGTTCCAGTCTGTGCCTGTTGCCTCTTGTCCTGTCATGGGCACCACTAAGAGTCTGGCTCCGTCTTCTCTACTCCCCCCCACCAGATCTCTGATTAGGGCCCCTTGAACCTTCTCTTCTCCGGGCTGAGCAGCCCCAGCTCCGTCAGGCTCTGCTTCTGTGGCCAATACCTTCATCACCTTCCTGACCCTCCTCTGGGTCTCTCATTCCAGTAAGTGCATGTCTCTCATACGGGGGGGCCCAGGACGGGACACGGTACTCCAGGTGTGCTCCATCAGTGCTGGGCACAGAGGATCACATCCCTCGGCCTGCGGGCAACGCCGTTGCCAGTGCAGCCCAGGACGCCCACAGCCTCTGCTGCCGGGGCACGACGTGGCTGCCTCGTTCAACCCGGTGTCTGCCGGCACCCCCAGCTCCTTCTCTGCAAAGCTGCTTCGCAGCTGGTCAGGCCCCGGCATATACTGGTGGGCAGGGTTGTTCCCACCTTCTCGGGTGCAGGGCTTTGCCTTTCCCTTTGATGAACTTGGCGGGATTGCCGCTGGCCCGTTCCTCCGGTCGGTCGGGGCCGCTCTGAGGGGCAGCACACCCGTGTGGTGTGTCAGCCCCTCCTCCGTCCCGTGTCACCTGCACAAAACTGTGTGTCACGTCCGCTTGCTGAGGGTACCCTCTGCCCCATCATCCAGGTATCTAATGAGGTATTGGCCCCAGTACCAACCCCCGGGGGTTGTGGCCACCACAGGTCGCTGGCCTCCAGCTGGACTTCATGCCCTTCAGCCGGTTCCCCATCAACCTCACCTGCCACTTGTCCTGCGCCCACTTCACCCGTCTGTCAGTGAGGACGTCACGCAATGCGCTTTTGAAAGCCTTGCTAAGTCAGGATAAACAAAATCCCTTGCTCGTCCCTCACCCCCCAGCCTAGTCACTGGCTCGTAGAAGGCTGCCAGGCTGGCCAGGCACGGTTCCCCCTCTGTAAAGCCGTGCTCTCTACTCCCAGTCGCTCTCTTGTCCTCGGTCTGTTTGGAAGGGGTTTCCAGGATGATTTGTTCCACCGCCCTCCCAGGGGTTGGTGTGAGGCTGCCCGGCCTGCCGTTCCCTGGGTCCTCCCCCTCGAAGACAGGAGCTCCTGGGGTGTTACAGCCGCCACCTCACTGAGCACCAGGACCGTGGCTGCAAGCCGACACGGGCACCGGGCGTGGGCTGCCACGTGCCACGTATCAGGCTTAGACCTAAGCGTGTCGGTTGCCACGACAGCTCGAGGGGCTGCGGAAGGAAAAGAAGGGGGATTGCCTTCTGGGTGCTGAGCTTCCCCCTCGCTGTGGCCGAGGGGGCTGAGCCCCGGCACAGGCGAGGGGCGGCTGCTTTGCTGGCGAGCCAGTGCGAGGTGAAGCCCCTGCAGACACCCCCCCCTTCGCCCCCTCTGCCCGGGTGCCCCACGCCTGACCCACCGCACCGCAGGGCGCCGGGGGGGCTTTCCTGCCTGGGGCTGCGCGGGCTGTTTTCCCAACCACCGAGGTGACAGGCGTCCCGCCTGATCTCCTTTGGCACTCTCACCAGCCGCCTGCCTGAAGGGAACAGACCTGCAGTCTGGCTCCTCCTGCTCAGAAAAGGGCTGTAGAGGTGCCCCACTTCCGAGTTCTCCCCAAAATGCATACCTTTCCAGTGGAAATGTCTTCTGGGCAGAATCTGAAGATTTGGGAAGTTTATCTGGGATTCCTAGGCAGGTGGCACGCCAGCCCGAGCTGCTGCGCCGCGGCTGCAGCGGAGCTGGTCCATGCACGGAGGTACGAGCTGATGACACGGCGTTTGTGCAGTACCTCGGCTGCTTTCGGAAACCATCAGCTCTACTGCTCACGCACAGTGCAGTTGCCGGGCCCCTTCGTAAAGTCTCTGACCCCTGCAAAAGCTCTTTTGGGAAACATTAGACCGGTTGCACGTGGTCAGCACTGCTGAGCTGCCTGTGCATTTTAAGTCCAGCGTGTGCCAAGAACGCACGAGCTGAGCCTGAGGTACCCGGTCGCCGCAGACCCTGAGCCATAGGACCGAGCTGCCTGACTCGCAGGATTTCACGCGTAAGCACTGCCCGTAGGTTCTGCACTTTTTCCTGCTCAGGAGACTCCATGAAGAGGTGTAGCAGCCCTTAGAGTCACAGAATTAAGAGTTCTCTCCTGCTTTGCTCATTCTTGTGTTCGTCCGAAGAGGAACTCTTCCAGGGCTTCTTCAGCCTCCCCGGCCCTCCAGACGCTGGTGGAGTTCCTGCCCTGCATCAGGAGGGCCGGTACATTGGGCACAATTAACCCCCACTTGTTTCTGTCAGTTTTCAGGTGTTCCCTCACAGCATCCCTTTGCTTTTTCTCCTGTGAAAGCGGAGAACTGAGAAGTGCCAGATTTATCTTCCCTAATGAAAGCGCCGGCTGCACTAATAGAATCCTAAGCAAAAATGACGGCAAGGAACTAGATCACCTTCGGTGAAAAAACCTTGTTCTCAGTAGTTCTTCCGATAAGCCTCGTGCGCTGTGGGGCACCCTTTTTCCCTGTGGGCCTTATTTATGGGGCTAAGCTCTCTGTGGATTCTTCCGCTGAGAGCCCCGAACAAATTCCTTGCCGAAGTTTGGCAGCTGAGGAAGAGCAGCGGCTTGGCACGCGGTCGCTGAGGCCGGCTCAGCCATCTCCCCGGAGCGCAGCCCTGCCCGCCGCCGGTGCCGCGCGCCGTCGCGCCGGGGCGGCTGCGGCGCTGCCCCGTCCCGGGCAGAGCCCCCGGCTCTCCCGGCCCTTCCTCGCGAGGCTTCTGGTGGCCCTCCGCTCCCCAGGCCTCCCTCGGGGCTCTGTGGAGAGCCGTTTTCCCTTCCACCTTCCGAAAGGGGCCGGCACCCCCTGCCCAGCCCCGGCCGAAAGGCGGCTCGGGTGGGCGGCGCGCAGGCTGGGCGCAGGCAGGGTGGGCAGCGCGGCCCCCCGGGCACCCCCCACCGCCGGGCAGCGCCTGAGAGCGGCCGCTCCCGCGGGGGAGTTGGGTCCTCCCGGCCCTTGCGTTATGCCCGCGGCGACGCGGAGCACAGGCGCTTCCGATTTTTGCCGTCGGGGCCCAACCGGAGAGACTTGCTTTCCTTCCTGCACCCCTCCCCTTCGTCCTCCCTTCTCGGGGACAGTCCTCATGAGGCATTTCAGGAAGGCAAAGAGCTTCTCAGAATGGGGACTGTGGAGGTGCCACGACATCTGTGCGTGCACCGTTCCAGGACGGAAGCCTCGAAGTGTCCGTCTACACTTGGGGCAAGGAGAGGGAGGATCCGTCTCCAGGGCTGTCCCTAAAGCACGGCCTGGCCGTGGGCACGCGTCGTGCCGAGCTCTGCGCCGCAGCCCCATGGAGAGTCACGAGAGCAGTCTCGTGCCTCACTCGTCAGTAGGGAAGGCTGTTCCTCACAGGACGTGCGTCCTTCATGCAGTTCCGCTGAAAAGCAAGAGAGATGCTTTTGAAGGCTGGTGTGAAAGCACCTGGAAGCCAAGAGCCGCCACGTGGAAGGTTTGCAGAGCAGAAGCCAAGCACTTTTCTCTGGGGCGATCAGCAGTGCGTTACCACTGTTGCTGAATCTGTCCTCGCCTTTGCTACTCTTGAAGAAATTTGGACCGAGATACAGAGTTCAAAGGAAGAATCCTCATCCATTAGTGACTCATTCAAGGAATCTGCTTTTTAATACCTTCAGTAGAAGTATTCCCAGAAGGCTTCATTAGCTGTCCAACAAATCCATAATCCTTTCCTCGGTTAGAACTTCCTTTTTCACCAAGCTGGTGTTTCTTTGCTTAGGAGACTGCTTCCCGTGAGGCCGGGTCTCCCTCCCTGCTGATTCCCCTCCGCTCCATGTGTGCACTGGTGGAAAGTGGTGCAAGAATCAGGCCTTGTCTTCTGCGTCTCTCAAGATTAGTTTTTCTGGCTGCGCTGAAGAAGCAGTCCAGGCAGCTGACCCATGGGTGGTGCTGGTGCGGACAGACTGCCACCACCGAGCTCCGCGGGACGGGGCTTGAGACCTGCCAGAACCTGGATTTCACGTGCGCAGAGGAGACGAGCTTGAAGGCAAACCTACAACGGTGATTAGAGCTGCCGTGTCCCGACGCACAGAGAAACCTGTGGCAACCAGCAAACCCACCGTCTCCGGGCTGCTGGCCCTCCCAGGCCCATCCGGAGCACCGCCAGAAATGGAGAGTGAAGAAAGCATTTAGTTTTTCTTATTGAGCTCCCCAGCTGCATTGACTTGGCGTTGCCTAAAGGAGACGTGGACAACGCCATGGTGTTCGTGAGAGCCGACAAAGCTGAAGTCCTCGACAGCAGCATCCTAAAACGTGGCCTCAGCTTGGACTAAAGCTGGCTGGCACACATCTCTGCCACCGCGTATTCCTCGGGCAAAACGTGGGATACGCCAGCATGAGCCTGCGGTGGAGCAGAGCGGTGATCCAGGAAAACCCCTGTGAGCAGGTAGTGCCGCTGTGCGTAACGGGGGAGTGCTTGGAAGGGACGTTGTGCTGAAGAGCCACTTGTGACTGGTCGCATCGAGAAAAACTCACCCGGCTTCCAAGCAGGGTGAAGCGCCTGTGACCGAGCAATCGGAGCGACGGCCGGTGGTGAAGTCAGCTCCCAGGGCTGGCCAGCACGTCGGCGACTGGGGCTGGCTGCAGCAGCGCTGCTGCAGGTGCTGAGAGCCAGCAGCGAGCTGCCAGCAGCACGTTGCACCGAGCCAGGCAGTGCCCTGCGGAGGGGAACAGACCTGCGCTTGCGCCTGCTGCCCGGCCGTGCCCCGAAGGGCCTGCCTGGCTCCTCGCTGCAAGGACACGGCAGCCACGCGGGGAAACGCCGCCGGGGGAGCTTGGGCGCACGGCTGATCCCCGTGTGGCCCCAGCAGATCCGTGCCCCGAGGGCAGGCCCAGCCGGCTTCCCGGCCCCGTGAGCCACCCAACAAGGCAGAAAGAGAGCCAGGGAGGCCTGGCAGCACAGCCCGCCCGCCATGCGGGTCTCTGGGCACCTGCACCCCCGCCGCTGGCAGGGCCCCTGCAGCCGGGCAGCCGCGGGGCATCCACCCTCCAGCTCAGTTCTCTCTCCTTCCACAGGCTGGGACAGCAGCTTCCCCCCCTGCCCCACCGCGAGCCGGTCCCGCCAGCCTTTGGCCCGCCGGCTGCCGTGTCCGCAGCCGTTCTGTTCACGTTTGCCTTTCTTGAACGCGAGTGGCCAGAGCTGTGCCCAGAATGTCAAACGAGAGCGTAGCGGTGTTTCCCATGGTGACACGAGCGCATCCTTACAGCCGTGAGAATACACACCTCCGAGCTTGCAGTGCTCCTCTTGCCTTTCCACGGCCACCGGTGCCTCCCAGTCACCCCCGCCAGGCACCCAGAACTTTCTCTCCATCACTTCCAGGAGAGAGCAGAGACCCTCTGCCAGCCCTCGGAGCAGGACGCTGTATTTTGTTCTGTCACTTTTTGTTCTGTTTCTTGTACTGCAGCCCTCAAGGTCGTTCAGCTCTTCCTCTTCTGTACCGACGGAGTTTCCCAAATGTGATTCATCGTCATGCTTCTTCATAACCCTCTTGCTTTCTGTGCCAAGGTGGCAGGAAAATAAGAGCAAACGTGCCTAAGCCCAGACCAGGAACAGACAGACCTTCATGCTCGCGTTCAGCTGATCCCGGAGCCATCGTTAGTGCTTATTACCCTCCCAGAAGCGCGGCTCTCGGGGGGCGTGAGTGGCAGCGGTGTCTGGCGTTGGCTGCAGCCCTCGGACTCCTGGTGCCAGCGACAGGTCTCCCTCCGGAGCCCCGGCTGAGGCGGGAGGGCAGAGCCCGGAGGGCAGCAGAGGTGCCGGCTGCGCGGGGCACGGTGCAAACAGCCCCCCGGACCGCCGGTTCCTCCAGCGACGCCGGGGAGCTGCAGCCCTGTTGCGTTTTGGGGGGGTCAGTTCGGAGGAGGAAGCGAACTGCCGCTGCTTGACCCAAACGAGCGGTCGAGGAGTGTTCAGCAGAGCTCCCCCCCCGGGCAGGAACGCCGTGCCACCGGCCCCCCCCCTCCCCGCTCACGCCCGGGCAGGGCTGCAGCACTTGGGCTGCGGGAGCACCCGGGCCCCTGAGCCGCCGCGGGACGTGGGTCCCTGCTGAGAGCCCTCCCGGGAGCCCCACGGAGCAGCGGCCAAAGCCCCGCGGTGGGCTCGGGGTGCCGCACTCGCTTTGGCTGCCGGGACGGACAGACTGCAGGCAGACCCCCCCCCCCCCCCAACCCCGTCCCTCCCGGCCGGCGGCACATCGGTGGCCGCAGCCAGGAGCGGGTGCCGGTACCCAGAGCAGGGCATGAGCAGAGCCAGCAGCTCCCGGCGCTCGAAGGACTCGTCCTCCATCACCTTGGCCTGTCTGGTGTTAGGTCCGTTTCTCCCCGCGTACCCAGCGCTCTTGTTTGTGCCAGGGGAGGCCATAAAGGCAAGCGGCGCGGGCAGCAGGCGGGGATGCTTTGCGGCGGGGCTTGTCCCCCCGCAGAGGCTCGCCGTGTCGAGCCGGGTGCCACGGGACGGGCTGTCCCCTGCCCCGCTCCACAGCCTGCACCCACCACCACGCCGGGCGCGGGCCGGGCAGGCGGACGTGGCGGGGTGCAAGGGGAGGACCAGCCCAGGCGCCCCGGACCCCCCGTCCGGTGACAACCTGTGGCCTCCATCCTCGGGGTGACGTGGCGTGGCGGCCCTCCCGTCCCCCCACCCCGCTCTCTCGGGAACCTGCCAGGACGTTCCCTCTTGTCCCGGGACGGGGCTCTGCCCCACCGGCCCGGGAGCGCTGGTTGGCGCTGGCTCCGTGGGGGGACCCGAGCGCGTTGCCGGCGGTGAGCGAGGGGAGACGGGGGGGGTCCCCGGAGGGAGTTGGGGCAAGTGGCTTTGGTGCAGCTCTGCCGCGCGGGTTCTTGCTGAGCAGCCGAGGCAGGGCAGGGCGCAGGGTCTCCAGGCGCAGCCCGTCCTCGCGTGCGGGCTGCAGGGCCCCGCTCCTCCCGGGCAGGTCTCGCCGGGCTCCAGAGCCGGGGCAGCTAGGGGCAGGTTTGGCCGCGAACCAGAGCTACTGCTCGAACCTCTTCCGCTCCTCCGGCACGGCCCTGCCAGGGCTTGCGAGAGAGTCTTGGCTGCGGTGCTGCGAGCTGTGTCCCCCGAGCGCTGCAGGGTCCCCCCTCGCCCTCCAGCAACCCCCCCCCACCCCCTCCCCGTGTATATTGTGTGTGTGCTCCTGTGTCTGGGGAACCTCCGCCTTACCCCTGCCCTCTGCTCTCTCTCCTCTCTCTCTCGCTGTACCGTTCTTTCTGCAGACTTTTCAGTAGTTTAGGAGAACTCAGCACCATTTCCCAGCGGAGCTCCGGGACCACCTACACAGTCCGACCTGGCAGTCGCTACCCCGTAACCCGACGTACCCCCAGCCCCGTGAAGCCGGCTCTGGACCGGACAGAGCCCCTCAGCACCGTCCGGCCCTACGGTCTGACCCCTCCCACCATCCTCAAATCTTCCAGCCTCTCCATCCCCCACGAGCCCAAGGAGGTGCGCTTCGTGGTGAGGAGCGTGAGCGCCCGGAGCCGCTCCCCGTCCCCGTCCCCCTCTCCAGGGCCGCCCCTGCACACCCTCCACCCGCCTCGGCCCTTCATGCAGAAACCCCTCCACCTCTGGAACAAGTACGACGTCGGGGACTGGCTGGAAAGCATCAATTTGGTGGAGCACCGAGACAAGTTCGAGGACCATGAGATCGAGGGCACGCACCTGCCTGCCCTCACCAAGGAGGACTTTGTGGAGTTGGGGGTGACCCGTGTCGGGCACCGGATGAACATTGAGCGGGCACTCAAGCAGCTGGTAGACAGCTGACCGTCCCAGGCAGCGCCGGCCTCTTCCAGAGCCACCGGGGGGGCGGGGGGGTGGGGGGCATTTCTACTAGACTAATAAAACCCACTTTGATTCTCTTTCTATTCTGAGCACTGCACTGAAGGGTGCGGAGCCGAGAGGCTCCCGCCCGCTCCCGCACCGCCCCGGCGTGCCACGCACACGCAGACCCACCCCCCCCCCCCCGGCCCCGCCAGCCCCGCGACGCCTTCGGGACAAGGAATGTTGCATGAAACACATCCTCGTTTCTGTTCCTCCCAGAGAGTCCGGCCTGTATATCGCTTGATGTGCCCTTCCCCAGGGGCGTCGCTGGTGGCCGGAGGGGCCGAGGCACCACGTGCTGCCGGGCCCGGGCTCCCCGTGGCCGCAGGGCAACACCTGGTTGGGGCCGGGCAGCGGGACGGGGCCAGCGGTGCAGTGAGGGGCCGAGCCCCGGCTTAGGCAGGGGGGCTTCTGCCGCCGGCCGAGCGCTGGCCGCGTTGCCCGGGTGCGGCAGGGCGGGCAGGGGAGCCCCCCGGGGCTGCGCCGAGCCGGGGAGCCGGGGAGCCACCACCCTCGCCCCGCGAGCCAGGAGGGAGCCGGCCCCGCGCCAGCTCTGCCCGCCGCCCTCGGCTGCCCCGGTGAGAGGGACCGAAACCGCATGGATAGAAGCATGTTTGGGGATGTCGGAGGGAGGCTGGTGGGGGAGTCCAGCAGAAAACGCTTTGCCAACGTTCAACGGGGGGAGGGGAGGGAGGGAGATGTTTTATTTCCTCTTGGTTTGGGGTCTTGTTTCCAAGGGGGACGCGTTGATGGATAATATATAATCTCCGTGCATTTATATAGAGAGCAGCTGATGATCTACAAGAGATGATATTGAACTACAGGATTCCCACTCCGTCCTAGTCATCCTTATTTTGCATCTTTTTAATCAGCTATATATTTGAAAAGAGAGAACAAATATCTATATATCTATATCTATAGCTATAGCCACCTGATTTTGTTATAATTTTACTAAATCTATATATCTCTAGACTTGTTGAGACGCTGGCGAGGCGGTGCCTGCACCCCTCCCCCGGGACGCCCATGGCTCATGGGAGTTTTTAGCGACTGACTGAATGAATGTTAAAAGTCTTTTTAAAAAAAAAAACTGCAAAAAAAAAAAAAAAACCCAACAGCTCCTTTCAGACACTCTGGATTTTAAAGATTTAGAAACACACAACAAAACTTGGTTTTTGGGACGCACCGAGTCTTCCACCCCCAGCAGGCTGAGACGCACTGAGTGGCGCTTCCTGCACCCCGCGGCACCCCGGGCACACGCAGCCCCCCCGGCACCGGGGCCCCTCCCGGGGAGCACCCGCGAGGGTCCCGGGGGGCTGCTCCCCCAGCACGGGTCTCGGGGGGGGGGGGACGGGGACAGGGGGTGACCCCAGCCAGCCCTGGCGCTGGCCGGGGTGGTGTCCCCATCCCCCAGCGTGCTGCCCGGTGCCCCCGCGCCCTCTCCTCGCCGTCCCCCGGGCTCGCCCTGCCCCGGCTCAGGGTGCCAGGGCTCGGCCAGGCCGGGAGGGGATGGCTTGGTGACTGGTGGTCCCAAAAAGCTGAGTCCCCCACAAAGGCATTAACTCTTCTGGTGCTAGAGGGAAGGACAAGGAGGTTCCTTCTGACCCTCACACATCTCTGAACCTTTACAACCTTCAGCCAGGGAAAAGGCCCAGGCCCAGGGTGGGGGCAGCCGCCCCTCCTGTGCGCTGGGACCTCCCCGGGAGGGATCCCGACCCGTGCCATCGCACCGGGACATTCCCGGGAGGGATCCCGACCCGTGCCATCGCACCGGGACATTCCCGGGAGGGATCCCGACCCGTGCCATCGCACCGGGACCTCCCCGGGAGGGATCCCGACCCGTGCCATCGCACCGGGCCCTCCCCGGGAGGGATCCCGACCCGTGCCATCGCACCGGGCCCTCCCCGGGAGGGATCCCGACCCGTGCCATCGCACCGGGCCCTCCCCGGGAGGGATCCCGACCCGTGCCATCGCACTGGGCCCTCCCCGGGATGGATCCCGACCCGTGCCATCGCACCGGGACATTCCCGGGAGGGATCCCGACCCGTGCCATTGCACTGGGCCCTCCCCAGGAGGGATCCCGACCCGTGCCATCGCACCGGGACCTCCCCGGGATGGATCCTGACCCGTGCCATCGCACCGGGCCCTCCCCGGGAGGGATCCCGACCCGTGCCATCGCACCGGGACATTCCCGGGAGGGATCCCGACCCGTGCCATCGCACCGGGACATTCCCGGGAGGGATCCCGACCCGTGCCATCGCACCGGGCCCTCCCCGGGAGGGATCCCGACCCGTGCCATCGCACCGGGCCCTCCCCGGGAGGGATCCCGACCCGTGCCATCGCACTGGGCCCTCCCCGGGAGGGATCCCGACCCGTGCCATCGCACCGGGCCCTCCCCGGGAGGGATCCCGACCCGTGCCATCGCACCGGGCCCTCCCCGGGATGGCTCCTGAAATGCTGAGGTGCCGTCTCCTTTTCCCTGAGCTCTTGCTGGGCGCCAGCCCAAGCGGCTCCATCCTGAGCTCTCCGGAAGCCGCCGGGCCCTGGGGGTTCGTGGCCTCTCCCCCCTCCCCGGCCGCCATCCCGCTGCTCCTCGCCGGGGACGGCGCCCGGGGACGGTGCGGGGGGCTCGAGGCTGGGCCGGCGAGCACACAGCCCGCGGTCCGCACCCCTGGGGTACCCCGGCCTCGCGCCCCACAACCCGGGGAGCCAAGAGGCATCCGAATTGCGATAGCAGCCATTGCGTCTGCCTGAGCCCACCGCCCGCTTCCCCCGGGGGTGCCCTCGCGCCCCGACAGGCACCCCTGCCCTTGCGCCCCACCGCCGCAGCCCGGCCCGTCGCCCCTCTGCCGCCGCGCACCCACCCCCTCCATCCACCCCCCTCTCCCCCCCCCCCACCTCACCCTTCCTCTGCACCCCCCCCCCCACCTCACCCTTCCTCTGCACCTCCACCCCCCCCCCCATCCTCCCCGCCGGCCCCTGCACGCCTTGCCCGTGGCCAGCAGCATGTGCGGCAGCATGCACGGACGCCCGCACCCAAATCGCCCCAGCGCCCCGGCTCAGCACCCCTGCGCCCACCCTCCCCCTCCCCTGCCCGCGCTCCAGCCCCGTTGCCCGCGCCGGCGTCGCTCAGCACCCTCCGGTCGCAGGGGCTTGCAGGGTGGGGACGGGACGGTCCCACTCCGGAGGTGTCCGGTGTCCCCAGCGCGGTTTCGCCTCGCCTGCTGGCACAGCCGCTGCTCTCGCGTCCCCTCGCCCGGCGCTCGCTCCCCCCAGAGCCCCCCAGCTCCGGCCGTCGCCTCGCCTCGGCCCCCCCGCCGCCTCCCGCGCGCTCCGCAGCCCCTGCGCCCCTGCGGCTGCTCCCCAACGCCCGGCTGCTGAGCCAAACTTGCCGCTTCTCCCTGGAGCTCGGCTTTCTGGGCTGACGCTGCTTCTCCAGCTCCGTGCCTGGCAAAGTGGCACCGGCACGTCCCAGGACGCCGGCGAGCACCCAGCTCCTCGGCACCCCCGGCCTGCCGCAGCGCAGCCCCCCCCGAGGAGGCACACGGGGGCCTGGGCGCGTCCCCAGCTCGGCGTCGCGCAACCTCTTTTCCCAAATTTGCAGAGATCAGGATTTCCGAGGAATTCACTCGGCTGTTTGCTCCTTTCACGAGGCTGCTCCGAGGGTGGGAATGCTCGCTGGCGGCCCGCGGCGTGCCACGGGTGACCGGTGGCTTTGCCCCCCCCCCGCTGCCGCTCGCCGAGCCCCCGGCCGTGCCCACGCGTCCCCCGGGGCCGGCGCTGCTGCGGGGTCGCGCTGGGGGTCCGCACGCCGCGGCTTGGCCGAGCTTCCGCACCGCCGACGGCTCGTCCCTGGCTGCGCAGCCCCCCCCGCGTCCCCCCCCCCGCCTCCCCAGCCCCACTTTGCACTGCTGGCGCCCCGCAGCCCCCCCTGCCCACCGCCCCCAGCTCATCCCACCGCCGCCCCTTCCCCTCTGCTTCATCCCCATCGCGCTGCTGGCTCCTTCATCTCACCCGCAGGGAACGGAGAGACCCCGGCAGCCCCCGGTGACCCCGGCGGTCCCTGGAGACCCCGGCGCAGCCCCGCAGGGCTGTCCCCGAGGAGCCACCGCAGCCCCTCGGTGTGACCCCCCCCCCCGGCCCGGCGCGAGCCCCTCGGGGCAGCCGGTGGAAGCGTGACGGTGTGTTCGCCTGAGTGCAGGCTGCTCGGCGGGTTCACCCGGCGTGAACCCGGGGTCTCTGCCCCTTCCGCAGCTGCTTGCGGGGCGACCGAGAGACCCGCCTGCACCCGCCTCTTGCCGCGAGAGGCCTGAAGTCTGCAGAGCGCAACTTTTCTGCAGAAAGTTCGGTCTGGGACCAGGAAAGCTGGCCGCCTTCTTGCCATTTCTGAGGAGCCCTCCTCCTCCCGCTCCCCCCCCCCCCCCCCCCCGCCCCGACTCATCCTCCTCGCGAGGACTGGAAATGGTGGATGCAGCGCTCTGCCCCGCAGAGCCGGCGGCTGTGCCGCCCCGCCGTGCATCCCAGCTTCCGCCACCAAGCAGCTGCAGCCGTACCTGTGTTGGCAAACACTGCGTGATCCCTCCGGGGACACCACGGCTCGTCCCAGTCAGGCGTACCCCCAGAGAAGGCCGCTTCCAACCGCGCTGCCCCATCGCCCCCCAGCCCCGGGGCTGCCCGGGTCTCCGGCAAACCTGCTCCCCTCCCTGCCCCGGCAGCGACGGCTTCGCCCTCCTCATCGCTCTCCCTGCACCCAGCGCTGCACCCTTCCCCACCCCACCCCACCCCACGCCACCCCGGACACGCGTGCGTGGCAGAGCTGGGCGAGCGTGGGCTCGGGGCGTCGGGGATGGCGCCGGCCCCGAGCGAACGCGCTTCGCTTCGGGGCGGCTCCGTGCCGGGTGCCGAGGCCCCTTCAGCTGCGCTGCTCCTTCCTCCCCGCTCCCACCCTGCGCCCCTCTGGGCCCCCCCCCCGGGCTGCCGGGGTTGGGGGGCTCCACGGCCCCCCCCCCCCCAGCACCCGGCCAGGGTCAGGCCGCTCGCCCGGCACCGCGGTGCCTCCGCCGGGGCCCCCGGGCTGCCCGACGGCCGAGGGCTCGTCCCGTGGCCGTGCCCCCCGCGGCAGACCCGTGTCCCCCCCCCCCGCTAACGCAGCTGCTGCTACTTTACTTTTAATTTTCTCAGCTGAAGCAAAGAGGATTTTCCCCAGGTGTAGATAACGCTTTCCTGACTCTGTATCTATTCTGGCTGCATCGGCATCTCCGCTCCAAACATCTCCAGACCCAGTGAGACATTTCATGTTGAAAAGCCATCCAGGAGAAGGCAGAGCGGTAGCGGGTGAGGAACCGACCCCACGAGCCCGCGGCGCGGCGGTTACTGTGATTCTCATGGCTTCTCAATGACTTGGGTTATCTTCTGTAAAAAAGGGATACACTTTCTTTTTTTGGGATTTTTTGGGGTGGTTTTTTTGGTTTGGTTTTTTTTTTTTTTTTTTTGCTTTGAAGGGGTTTTTTTTTAAAAAGTTGTTGGTATTTTTCCTTTGTCCAGACTAACGTCATCAATCCCTGTTCTCCATCAGCTCCTGTCTGTAATCCTGACTGTAAGAAAAAAAAAAAAAAAAAAAAAAAAAAAAAAAAAAAAAAAAAAGGAGAAACCAAAACCCAAAGCACTTTGTTCCCGGTGGTGAAGAGCTTCGCCAGCCGAAACCGTTCCCCCCCGGCGACGGAGTGCGGCGCGGTTTTCTGGTTTCCTTTCTGTCCGCCCGTGGGCAGCCCTCACTGCCGCATGCATGTGTCACCCGCGGAGCCCCCGCACGCCCCCGGGCGCGCGCTCACACCCTCTGCATGTGCATATACCGGCTCCCGCCCTCGCACACGCGTGTGCGGCCACACGCGGCCCCAACATCCACACTCTTGTTTCTTACCCAGACGGACTCACCTGTGGGTTTTTGTTCTGTTTTTAATTTTACAGGGTCAGTTTGACTTCACCCTTATTTTGTATGGATTTTCGGAGGAGATTTCTTCTTCTCCAGAGTCATGGAGGTGTGGCCATTCGCCTCCCGCCCTTGACGTTGTGATACACATACCCCACAGAGATCTATGTTTCTTATATTATATTATTATTATTAATTATTATTATTATTATTATTATGTAATAAATTTATAAGAAAGCTCTGCTTTGTCCCGTGGCGTCTCTCAGCTCCAGCAGCCCCCTGACTGGGGTCCTCCGCCCCCCCCCACGGGGGATGCACCAGCACCCCCAGCACTGGGGCTGTGGGTGGGCGTGGGCGGGAGTGGGTGGGCGTGGGTGGGCGTGGGTGGGAGTGGGCAGCTGCCTTCCTGCCCGTGGGGGTCCTGTGCTCCCCGGGCCCGAGCTGGGGGCAGCGGGGCCGGGCAGGGGGGTGACATCCCGCTGCCCTCAGGGTGGGGGGGGCCCGGGGCCGCCCACCGTTCCCCAGAGCCGCTGGTTTGTGCAGGGGGGGCACAGAACAGACCTGCCCCCCCCCACGGGGCTCCTGGCCGGGGCCAGCAGCTCCCCGGGGCCGGTGTCCCACCGCCGGGCTCTGCGGGGGGGTGGCCCGGAGCTGGCCCAGTGCCGCGGGGACCCTCGTGCCCCCAGCCCTGCGCTCACCTGTGCGACCAATGTGTGTCCCCCCCCCCATGCTGGCCTGTCCCTGGCGCTGCCCCAGGCCCGATAGCTGGGGGTTCACCCCCCCCCGGGACTGGGGCCAGGCAGAGGGGCAGACATGTGGGGGGCACCCACAGCCGCAGGGCTGGCCAGCGGCACCGTCACAGTAGCCACGGGGGTCTGCAGCCCCCCCCCCCCCCCAACACCTCTGCCCACCTCCCTCCCCAGCGCCAGCCTCGCCGTGCCCTGCCCCGGGGTGCCCGGCCGAGCCGGGGCCAGGACCCCAATTCCGGGGCGGGCAGGGGGCTGGAGGGCACTCGCCACCCCCGAGGCTGCTGGGGGTCCCCGAGAGCCGGCGGGGGGGGGGGGCACGAGGCCTCGCTCGGTGTCCACAGCTGCCGTGGGGGGAAAAACAGCGGCCGAGGGAGAAGGAGCAGGGGGGGGAAGAGGACAGGAGAGGGGTCTGGGCCCCCCAGCTGAGCACCCCCCGCCCCGAGCAGCCTCTCCAGCACAGGAGGGATTATGGTCACCCCGATGAACCCCCCCCCCCCCCAGTTTTCCCCAGCACCGTCCCCGTCTTCCACGGGCACACGCTCGAGCTGTTTGGCGGTGCTCTGGGTTCAGTGGCGCGATTGGCACTGATTGGAATACGCTTAATTAGATGTTCGGGGGGGGGGGACTGCCACCCCAGCTGAGCCCCAGGGCTGGGTACTGGGGATGGGGCTTTGGGGGGGGTCCGTGCCCCCCAGCAGCCGCTCGGGTGGTCCCACCCACCACCCCGTGCCCCCCAGGGCCGTGCTGCCAGCCCAACCACGCCGTGCCCACCCCCCCAGGACCCCCCCCCCCCCGTGCCACACCGGCACTTGCCTGCTTCGGTGACACCGGCGCCTTCTGCCCCCCCATAACCACGGGCCAGGACCCAGCGGCCCCCAAACTGCCACGACCCCCCCCTCAAGCCGGGTGGCTGCCCCCCCACCGCTTGGGGCACCACAAGAGGTGATGGCGGGGGGGGGGGGGGGGGGGGGCACAGGGGGCCGTGCACCCCCCAACACCCTGCACCCCCAGCCCGGCCCCACGCACCCCCACCTTCCCACCCCACACCTGGGTGCGGTGACCCCCACCCTGTCCCGTCCCCCCCCCCGCACCCCCCGAGCACCCCCAGCCCCGCGGTCACACCAAGCATATATTTTATTGAAAGACCAAGTGGATGACAAGGCGGTGGGGGGAGAACCTTGAACCAGGGTTTGTACAGGTGCCGTTTCCTCAGGACTCCTCTTGCTGTTCGAGTTACGAGATAAATATTGGTACATCGAGCGGAGTGGAGTTACAGTCACTAAAACTAGCGCTGGGCGGATCTACGGGGCCGGCAAGCAAAAGAAATCACCAGGCACAGCAGCGAGGAGCGGGGGGCGGCCGCCTGCCCCCTCCCACGCCCGGGCCCGACCCCGGCAGCCGCCCCGGCCGCGGGTTTTCCTCTCGCAGGGCAAATACATTCAGGCCGGGGAGGGGGGGGGCTCCGGCAGCATCACCCCCCCCCCCCGCCCCCCGGCCTGGGGGACCCCAAGCACCAGCCCTGAGCCCCACGGCCCCCCCAGGAAAGGAGGGGATGGCAGAGCGGTGGAGGGGGGGGGGGGGGGGGGGACAGGGGTTGGGGGGCACCGATGGAGGGGAGGGGGCTGGGGGGGGTGCAGCACTGGGGCGGTGGAGGGGACAGGGTCAAGGCAGTTGCACTGGGGTGCAGGACCCTTGGGGGGGGGCCGTAAGTTGGGGGGGGGTGGGGGCAGCTGGGAGGGTGGTGCTGCCGCGGTGCAGGGGGACAGCATGGACTTGGGGGCTTCATGGCTAGAGATGCTCACCCCAGCACCCCCCACATCCCCGTGCCCCCATCAGCCCCACAGAGCCTCCCCCCCGCCCCAATCCCCCCCCCCCCCCGGCCCCCAGCTGCCCTACACCCTCCACAAGTACTTCCCACCCCCCAATCCCCCAACCCCGTTCACCCCCCGGCCTCTCCATCCCCTGCAGCCGGGGGCACGGCGGGTCCCCGCTCCTGCAGCCCCCCGGGCTGGCCTTGCTCATGCAGGGGGGGCAGCTCCCTCCCCCGCCCCGGCCCCAAGGCTCGGCTGCGTCACCCCCACGGCCGGGGGCCCCAGGACACGGGGCCAGGGCGGTGCTGGGCGCACCCCCCATGCCCCCCCGGGGCTGAGGCTGCAGCCTGGCCCCCGGCCCCCCGAGAAGCGGTGAGGATGTGTGGGGAGCCCGTGGGGTGCGGGCTGGAGCGTGTGTGGGGGGGGCCAAGCCGGCTGGTTGTGGGGTCAGACAGAGTCTCTGGCCGTCTGTGGGGCTGGAGGGGGGTGCGGAAGCAGGGGACACGGTGACTGCCCCCTTACTCCAGGTAAATGTCCTCTGTGGGGCAGGCGTACTCCAGGTGCTCCTGGTAATATTCCTGAAACGCTCGTCTGCAAGGAACGGCACGACGGGGGGGGGCTCAGGGCCTGGACCCCAGCACTGCAACCCCCAGCACAGCCAGCCCCCCCTGCACCCAGCCCCCCAAACTGCAACCCATGGCACCCCCAGCCCCAGCACAGCCACCCCCCTGCACCCAGCCCCCCCAAACTGCAACCCCCTGCACTCCCAGCCTCAGCACAACCAGCCCCCCCTGCACCCAGCCCCCCCAAACTGCAACCCCCTGCACCCCCAGCCCCAGCACAGGCAGCCCCCCCTGCACCCAGCCCCCCCAAACTGCAACCCCCTGCACCCCCAGCCCCAGCACAGGCAGCCCCCCCTGCACCCAGCCCCCCAAACTGCAACCCATGGCACCCCCAGCCCCAGCACAGCCAGCCCCCCCTGCACCCAGCCCCCCCAAACTGCAACCCCCTGCACCCCCAGCCCCAGCACAGGCAGCCCCCCCTGCACCCAGCCCCCCCAAACTGCAACCCCCTGCACCCCCAGCCTCAGCACAACCAGCCCCCCCTGCACCCAGCCCCCCCAAACTGCAACCCATGGCACCCCCAGCCCCAGCACAGCCAGCCCCCCCTGCACCCAGCCCCCCCAAACTGCAACCCCCTGCACCCCCAGCCCCAGCACAGGCAGCCCCCCCTGCACCCAGCCCCCCCAAACTGCAACCCCCTGCACCCCCAGCCTCAGCACAACCAGCCCCCCCTGCACCCAGCCCCCCCAAACTGCAACCCCCTGCACCCCCAGCCTCAGCACAACCAGCCCCCCCTGCACCCAGCCCCCCCAAACTGCAACCCCCTGCACCCCCAGCCCCAGCACAGCCAGCCCCCCCTGCACCCAGCCCCCCCAAACTGCAACCCATGGCACCCCCAGCCCCAGCACAGGCAGCCCCCCCTGCACCCAGCCCCCCCAAACTGCAACCCCCTGCACCCCCAGCCCCAGCACAGGCAGCCCCCCCTGCACCCAGCCCCCCCAAACTGCAACCCCCTGCACCCCCAGCCTCAGCACAACCAGCCCCCCCTGCACCCAGCCCCCCCAAACTGCAACCCATGGCACCCCCAGCCCCAGCACAGCCAGCCCCCCCTGCACCCAGCCCCCCCAAACTGCAACCCCCTGCACCCCCAGCCTCAGCACAACCAGCCCCCCCTGCACCCAGCCCCCCCAAACTGCAACCCCCTGCACCCCCAGCCCCAGCACAGCCAGCCCCCCCTGCACCCAGCCCCCCCAAACTGCAACCCCCTGCACCCCCAGCCCCAGCACAGCCAGCCCCCCCTGCACCCAGCCCCCCCAAACTGCAACCCCCTGCACCCCCAGCCTCAGCACAACCAGCCCCCCCTGCACCCAGCCCCCCCAAACTGCAACCCATGGCACCCCCAGCCTCAGCACAACCAGCCCCCCCTGCACTCCAGCCCCCCCAAACTGCAACCCCCCTGCACCCCCAGCCTCAGCACAACCAGCCCCCCCCTGCACCCAGCCCCCCCAAACTGCAACCCCCTGCACCCCTAGCCCCAGCACAGCCACCCCCCTGCACTCCAGCCCCCCAGATCCAGCACAGCCAGCCCCCCCTGCACCCCCAAACTGTAAGCTCTAGCACCCCCACCCCCCCTGCACCCAGCCCCCTTGATCCATAACCCACAGCCCCCCAAAACTGAAATCCCCAGCGCAACCAGCCCCCCTACACCCAGCCCCCCCCGATCCACAACCCCCAGCAGAGCCAGCCCCCTGAAATGCAACCCCCGGCCCCCCCGGCCCCCCCCAGCCCCATCTTACCCGACGCACTCGGCGACGTGCCGCATGGATTCCTGTGAGACGAAGACGTGGCAGGCGAAGCGGCTCAGCACCGGGTGCTTGGTGATGAACCCGAAGTAGCTGCCGGGGGGGAGAGCGGGGTGAGGGGGGGGACACACACCCCCACCCCCACCCCCACCTCCTGCCCTGTGGGGGCTTTGCGGAGGGGACACCCCCCGGGGCCGGGGGACCGAGCAGGGGGGACCTGGCACAGCACCGGGTGGGGGGTCCCTCGGGGCTGGGAGCGCGGGGGGGGCTGTGGGAGAAGGAGGGGGGGGGTCTCACCAGCTATTCCGGGGGTG